TAGGCCCGTGCGGAGCACGGGCAATTTCATTGAAATTCTGCTACAGCAGCCGTTGGGCCCGAGTAGTCTGGCCCTTTTGAGTTTTTCAAGACGTATTAACAAAGCAGATATTTATCACAAAAACCACGTAACAGGGCAAAGTACTTTCTAGAGGTTGCGGCTAAGAGTTTTCTCCAAGTCGCTAATACAGTGATGGAGGAGCTTAAAAAGATTGAGAAACTGTGATTGAAGACAATAAATATAAAAGAGAAGAAGAGAACACCATAATAAGCTTATATAAGAGCTAATGGCTAACTATCGAGGATTTCGAAGAGATATGTGCGGAAGCCCAATGCGAAACAGTCAAGAGTGTAAGAGGGATTAAAGGTGTGCTCAAGTCATACCATTGTGTTGTTTTCAGAGGAAATGTTGGTGACTTCAAAGACTGTTGGGGTCAAAACAGAAGATTCCCAACGTTCATGCCAACAGCTCGAGTTTTATGGCTATCGGTGTTTTTGAGGAATCTACGTTTTTGCGGGGTAATTGAGTCAGTATCAGGAGCGCTGCTATGTAGTGGTTAGACGACTTTACTTCACAAAATCAAAGTTTGATAGCACTGGCTTTATTCGTAGGTTAGTATCTAGTCTCATAAATATGTTATTAACGGAAATATTTTACATTCAAATTTCTATTTATTCACATAATCAACTGCCAGTCTAAATTCAATTACAATATCTAAAAAGATTGGTCTAATAGTACGTTTTACCCCTATAAGTTCATCTCGCTACTGCTAGCCCCTCTACTCTCTCCTACATGCACGTGCGTATCTATATGCGTTCGCGTAACACATGCATTCACCGATTTTAAGTAGTTTGAAGGTATACTGATTACTGATATTCATCCCTAAGGCCCGGAAAGACCCCGTACCGCAAAGTAAGCTAGGGTCCTCGACCTCGAAAAAGTATAACTCGTCGCGCACATAAGGCGCGTTACACACAGGATATAAGATCCATAATAAGCAGCTGACAACGTTCGGTCAGAGGTGATAATCTGTATACAGTTTTCTAGTGACGAGTAAGCTACAGTCTTGTATATACATTGTAGCTAATGACCTCTGTTAAACTGATGAAATCGGCCCGCGTCACAGCACATCGAGCTTTTCATTCTAGATTCCAACAACGCCTAGCGGCCACTCATAATTCTTTTGCAGACCCCCTCCGACAACTCTGTCACTAAACATGTGTATAGTTGTTGTGCTATGTAGATTTAATTCAGTTGGACGATCTTATTACCCACACCAGTTTGGCCAATCTGTCGCGCCCACGTCAGAGCAAGCACCACCCTACGATCATGTCGTAGCCTCAGTGGAGCCGGTTGCGCGAGGCGTATATGGAAGGTGCAATCCCACATTGTGAGCACATGCTACCACTGGGAGTCGTGGGTCACAAACTAACTTGTTGGATCAGCCGCGAGGTTATATCTTATCTGAAAGAGAAAATACGGCATGCTTAGGCACGGTACCCTTTAACTCTGATTGTACATTTTCATTGTACAATATGCCAAGATCTATCCCCTATCATGTGTCCTAATTCCTCACCAATGTTAATAAATAGATAGGCGGATTCACCCGACCACGCACGGAACTCGCTATCTGAGCTTCCAAATGAGCTTGTTCTATTAATAGGAGACTATCTGTCAACCGAATCTCTAGCTTCGCTATATTTTCATAATACGGATTTGCGCCCTCTTTTTCGCGCACTGTATTGGCCCTGAAAATAGCCTCATTGGGGTTACTCTAGGCTGCGCAAGTTAGCGACGTTGAAGCTGTAAAACTAGCACTACTAGAAGATGAAGTGGATGTGAATTATTCGAGTTGGGATGGACGTACGTCAGTATCCTTCGCTGTCGAACGTGGAGACGTTGTCATGACTCAACTCCTTAAGGCTGAAAATATCGAGGTTTATTTAAATAATCGTGAAATAACATCGCCGCTGGGTTGGGCATCGAGAATGGGGCGTGTGAAATTAGTCAATCTCTTAAAAGAAGTAGATGTTAAGACTGCTAACTTAGAGAAGTCATCGAGGAAGCCCTAGAAGACACCACATTGAATGGACACGTGGAAATAGTGGAAAGATTACTTAAGATTGCGAGGAGAGATCAGCATTTCCGTGACTACGGAAACTCTTTGTTATGTCTGGTAGCAAAGGATGGACAAGAGAACATTGTAGAGTTATATCTTGCTGCTGGAGTAGATCCTAGCGCAAGAGACAGTTGTTACAGGATTGTGCTCTCTCTAGTAAGTGGCTCCCATAGCAGAACCATGAAGCTTCTTATCGCGGCTGGCGCTCGTGTTAACCACGCAGATGCCCATGGACGAACTCTACTGATATATGAGGTTAGAGAGGGTTACAGGTAAGGAGTAGAGATACTACTCAGCGCCAAAAAGATTCATATCAGCGTTAAGGACCACGATGGATGGAGTGCTCTATCGTTAGCTAAAACACAAGAATATCGTAAAGCTACTAAGCAAAGCACAGAGAAGACAGAACCAAGAGGAACAACATATATTAGCATTTGGCGTCTGAATGGAAGGACGCTCGTGACGATGAAACTAGTCGCAAGCTTCAACTCGAACAGGTACTATTTAAGGACCCTGTAACGATATGGATGGATCGCGACGACGATTTCTGGACTTTCACCTTTAAGCGAACAACTAGAGATGTGCTTAAGAAAATAAGCGCTTAGTATTATTTGACACCGGTGAATTGATGCGAATATTCTTACGAATTGACTAAGTAAGAAAATGGGGAGTATATACTATCTGTGTCAACTTGGAATTTGGAGTAATATTACTGTCACAAGAGTGAAATAGAACAACCAATTACATTCCATAGCAATGAAAGGAGTTTAAAGGTGATTTTTGATGTTCATGGCGTGGCTGCGGCGCGCACAGCCACTAGGATAGTTACGGGAAATCATGCTCTTCCTCTTCGAGTTCGAGAATGTTCGGATACCAAAACTGCCGCAAGAATTCGATTTCTCGGGCAACGTTTATTCGGTCTTGGGAAGGTGCAGCTTATATCCCTCTGATCGCATAAACTTGTTCTTTGTCGGCGAAACGCCTTATCGAAAAGCGCGTGGCTCTGTAGACCGTCCCGGATGCCCTCTTGAAAGAACCCCATGAACCATCTCGCAAGTATTGGACTTCTTTGACGCTATTGTATACAGTTACTCCTGCAGAGCGGAGATTTTTGCAAAAGGTCATCAATCCGAAGTGCGATACTTCGGGCAGCACGGTATGACTTGAAGGAGTTAGAGGGATAAGGAGGTCGATAGTAGCAGACACGTTTCGAGCTACTTGCGGAGCTTCCGTAGAAGGGCTTGACAGGTCGCGCTGCTTGGATTATGCTGTTCATGTAGTTAGGTGGGTTCCAAGATGACAGTATGATTGACCATTCCACTAGTTGTAGTTTGATAACCGAGACGACCACTTTTTTCTGGCATTACGAACCCCATCCATAAAACTATCAAAACTACCCACTATTTGCGCTAGAATCAAAAGTGTATTATCCAACGCTTACTGTGTATTGACATGTCCGAATGTTATGACCAGTTTCTCCACAATTTCCACAATGTCCATAACTACCCCCACTACGAGGCTTCGTTGGTGTACGAGTGGGTTGATTATGCCCCCTTTGGCGACCTCTTCTCTTCATAACCTTTGGTGAATTCCCAGCGGTAATATCACGGGCAGCCTGAAGAAGCTTCTGATGTTTCACTATCTTTACGGCTTCAAGAACCATTGAGCATAGGTCCTGCTCAGAAGTTGTCGACCCTACGCCTGCTCGCTCTGACTGTGGTCCAAACTTGTACGTACTAGAAGGCGTTTCTGGCTGGAGTGTCTGTGGTGGGGTCTCAGGGCGCAGATCACAGTGACTAATGACTCTCGACGTGTTGACGGGGGGAACCCCTAGTACTTGAAGAAACACCCCATATTCTTCTTTCGCAACCGACTTTGAAATGTCGTATGCAAACTTACAGACGGTGTACAAACTTACTCCATTCTTCCTTAACTCGTTTTCCATGAGCTTAATTTGATCCGAAGCTGTTGTCGGCTCGTTTGAATGCAACACAGGCAACCTCCTTCCCGTAACCCTCCTACCACGTGCTGATAGTTCATCTGCCATATCTGCTACCCCAAAGAGCTAGGACGCAAAACCCTGCGAACCCAGACTGATAATATGTCGTATAGTCGTCTGCTTTTTATTTGTAATAAACTTTAGGCGGTTTGCCTATGCCTGGCCCCGAGGCTTGATTCCACGGATCCGATTGATGTCGCAACTACGTTACAAGCTGTGGTAATGGTCGTACACTCCCAAATCGGGCTGGGGCATAATATTGAAGGTCAAAAATGATTCTGCCGTTTTGCTCAGTTAGCATTATGTTCTGTTGTTGAGAGATTGCGGTTTGTACGTGATATTCACAATGCCAAGGAAAAGTGGCCATCAAACACGATAGGTGAGACACGTACTGAAATGGTGTTTGTCTACTCCGCACTCATAGGCATACTGATAACCGAAAAATGTGGGTAGAAGGAGAGTTTTGGAAAGCAAACGGGCTGTGCTTACGCGTGTAGAGGGCGTCCGTGTATGTAAAGGAGAAAGGAGGTTGGGCAGACGCTGGATTGGGAAAGGTTGCGAGGCACCTAAAACGCGCTAGTACTAGAGTACTCCCACGTGACTCCGTACTGCGTCTCCAACCCATGCTTCACTCCTGCACCAGCTCTACAGCTTCGTTCTGTCGTTTCCAGGCGCGTAGAGTTAATCACCCCTCCGGTACGCAGTCATTGCAAGCTTAGCCTGCCACACTCTACCACCAAGTACATCCCGCCGTAAAACACCGCCATGGTCCAGAGCGTCACGACTTAGCACGGTGGCGAACTCGACCCATTCGACACCACATGGATTGATGTTACTATAGGAACATTGTGCCTCGATATTTATAGTTATGTGTATAAAGACATATAAGTCTCACTGACTTCAAGTACTCTATGCTTCTATCCAGACGCCTCCGCAATCTGATGTAGTGTTGTATCCAGAATCAAGATGCTAATACAGCCGCTGTCAATCCACGCATTTTTCCCTTGTTTGGGCCCCGAGCCTTGAATGACTCACGGTGCGACTAAAGATGTCGCTCGCATCTCGTTTCCGCAGATGATCTCGGCAGTCTCTGGAAAAGCTTCGGCCATGCGCTTGAGCACACTTTCTGTATACTCCACCCATTCCTGCTGACACCTAGCACAAAGAGAAACCCCGCCAAAGGTATGATCTTTTGGTGCACCATATCTTTCAGGATATTCACATTCAGAACACAAGGTCTGGTCAGCGTTTTCCAGCATTGCCTTTAGGCCACTGAATAACAGTGACTCTTCTCGCTCAAGCACGAGGCGATAGTGCTCAGGTCTCTGCTCCTTCATGCCTTCTTGTTCATCAAGCCTGTTCCATAGCTTGATGTTCCTCCGTGTCTGCGCAATAACGTTCTTTGTGTCGGGTTTGCCTAGGGTAAGGCCTTCCTCCACGAAGCGGTATCGTCGCATCATCACATGAATTGGGCCACCAAAGAAGCGGATGAAGTTGATTACGCACCTCATCTCGGGCCTTCTCGCCCACGCTACGTCCAAAGCCCAGAGTGCTTCGCGGCATCTGTGAAAGGCTAGCACGCGCCTGTTTTCAGGGACGTATGCAAATGTACTGTTGACCTCTCCCTCGGAGCGGTGCTTAGGATAAGCTACCCCGTCGTACATCGTGTTACCCATTTCGGCCATGATGTCAAATTGGCATTCTGTAAACCAGATGTCATCAATGTCGTTGCAAACTAGAGCAGCACCAATGGTGAAGCGGGCGAGTGCATCAGTATCCCGCATGCGGAAGAATTGCCAAGGACTCTTAGACAGAGCTTTACTGTAACGGCGAAACAGCGTGGTGTTCGTCTGTTGGCTTGACTTTTGCGAAGACATCAATATGAAACAGCGGTATTCGCGGCACATCTCGGCACTGATAAAGAGAACAAGTTAGCAAGGGATATTATAAAGGTCGAGAGCCCTCAAAATTAGAGACGTACTAGCCTACTGCTCCGCCACATAATGTGTTAAGCACTTCAGTGAGGCTATAACCCAAAATCCTATCGTCGTTTTTGACCACATCCGTAAGGCCACCGCGAAATTCTGCAACGATGCCTATGACAATAGTGCGCATGAAGGCAACATACCGCGACCAGTTGGTATGTTCAGGGATCACACAGCGAGCGTATTCCCAAGCCGTTGCGAAAACCTCCTCTTTGGTCCTGGACGGAAGGTCGACATCCTTCAAGTCATTCGCAATGTCATCCGGGTAGTACCAGCGCTCGTTAGCAACGAACTCATCGTTATTTTTGTCATGGAAGTGTGGTTTTGGGCTTTGGCCATCGTTCGAAAAAGCGTTCTGGTTCCCTTGAGTCATAATATGGTGAATAGATTTATCGACTAAGCTAATGAGTATTCCAACAACACTGCGGAAGACTAGTTACCTATATATGAGATTACCCAAGGCTGGCGTTTTGGCAGCACATGGCTCTGTTAGTGTACACTCTCATGGGACACGGATCTGCCTGGTGTACGCCTACCTAAAAGAGGCTAAACTGAATAAACATCGCGTATTGATTGGGCTAGGTGTCTGTAAGACAATAAACCCATTGCGCTGCTGATAGAGACTAGCACCATTTAGGCAAAACTACCACTAAGTGATCAAGGCTTAGTGTGGGATCGAAGGTCGCATGCTGACAGAAACCGAGAACTGCATGAGGGTGGAAAGTTCTGATAGTTATTCCTGAAAAAAATCAATCTCTGTTTCTATACTGTACCATGACCCGTTTTTCAAGCTGCCGGTTCGTCTCTTAAGGCATGAAATGACCTCTATTTACCTGCACATCATTTTACCAATGCTTCTCCCTCAGTTTTGTGTACCCGCTCGCTTCTGGTCTGCAAAACACCACTAATTAATGCAATTATAAAAACTGTCTAGTACACTCGAGGCGCCGCAAGCTGAGATTTTGCCGGGTTTCCGTTAGAATCTAAGAATGCTTACGGTGTGTGTAGTATGCGATTCGAAACGCTTAGCTGTGATCTTTCCAGTTGGATAACTGTGTAAATACATTCTATTATGATGCATCATATATTTCATGATTTATCAGATGCGGTTTAATGGGAGTTGGTGTTCACGACCCCAAGTTGACCCTGACTCTAACTGCTAGTGCTGCCTAGACCAGGGTAATCACCGCAGCAAGTACTGCCACTCTAAGTAACCAGGATGATAACTGCGTGATATTCATCTGTATGCAGGACGAAAAATCGTAGGTTTCTCGATCGTTGAAAACACTTACATTCAAGGTGCTTACATCTACAGGCCAGTAAGCAGTCTGGAAAATTTGGCTGAAGACGCTGCACCGCAATCCTTCTAACTGAGGCACAGTCACTTTGTTTTATCAGTTATCAGTGTATTGGCACTATTTACTTAGAAACTGAGCAGGCTAAGATGGTAAATGGTCATTCAGAAGTTGCAGGTAGCATACCCAAAATTATGCACGTCAACTACCACGACCAAACAGGCTGTTCGAAGTGAGCCATAAATAACAAGTTGAGGAATGCCTCGTTGTAAGGCTGAATCGCTTTTTTTATTTTACCTGGACATACGGTACCTCAAAATGAGTATTCCGAAGATGTCTTCCAACCACAGTGTATTCCATATGGACTTGCTGATCTATAAAGACGCTCTTGTCGATACGAAAATGCCGAAGTATAACCCTAGTCTCGCTTCCTTCTTAACTGGAGAAATGAGAATCAGTAGCCAACTGGCTTGCGCTTTTGCCTTCTTTTTGGTTGCCTACATTAGTATGCGCTGCGTATATAATATGTTTTTTCATCCTCTTCGCAAAATTCCCGGTCCATGGATGGCTGCTACGACGCCTCTCCCTGATTTTTGGCATGATGCTGTAAGGAGAGGAAATTACATTTGGGAGATTCAAAAAATGCATAGGAAATACGGTACTTGGATATACATCTCGAAGGTTCTTTATGAAACTACCAACACTGACGGACTTGGCCAGGCCCTATCGTACGCATCAACCCGAATGAAGTCCACATCGATGACCCTTCATATTATGATAACATCTATGTTGGAGGAAGTCACAAAATTGAAAAAGATCCCTCCACCGTTGCAGGATTTGGTGTCCCCGCTTCTGTAGCCGCAACTATACCCCATTCATTGCATCGCTCCCGACGCAGCTACATGAATCTGTACTTCTCGAAAAGGTCTATCACAGCTATGGAGCCTCTTCTCCACGAGCGAATTTCTGCGCTCCTAGGTCGGCTCGATAGCGCTCTTCGCGAGGAAAAGAGAATCTCTCTTGACAAAGCTTTTTCCGCCATGACAGCCGACATCATCACACAGCGCTTTTTCGGCTACCATCACGACTACATCAGTGTACCTGACCTAGTATTCCCCATCAGAGAAGCTTTACGGGGCGCATCAGAGATCTTTCACTGGACTCGCTTCATACCATGGGCCACCAGATACCTAAAGATGTTGCCTCTTTCTGTCATCCGTTTCATCTTTCCACCCCTTGCTACTTTGCTGGAATTGCAAAAAGAAATTAAGAAGAAGATCATCGAGACGTGTGAAACCAAGGATGAGGAGAAGCAGAAATCTGTCATCATGCAAGCATTAAGTAATGAGTCGATTCCGAAGTCTGAGCGTACGATGCAACGCCTATTGGACGAAGGTCAGGTGATCATCTTCGCCGGAACTGAAACCTCATCGCGCGCCCTCTCTGTCGGCATGTTCTATCTCCTTTCTGACAAGTCGATGATTGGAAAACTACGCGCTGAACTGTCACAAGTCGCTCATATTCCTGAGATGGAGTTAGCGGCTGCGAACCTTAAGCCTTTACCTTACCTCGTCAGTATTCCTTCTTCTAGGCTTCTCCGAAAATCAATGGGCCCACTGACATTTGCTTTAGACGGGTGTGGTGAAAGAGTCAATCCGACTTTCATACGGCCCACTCGCCCGCCTCCCCCGTGTTTTCGTCGATGAAACACTGCAGTACAGCAAGTACTCGATCCCTCCAGGTGTAAGTCAAGTCCCCAAGGCCCCGTTCAGCACGTACATACTGATATATCCAAGACGCCTGTGAGCCAGTCCACATACTTTGTGCACAATAACCCAGAGATATTCCCAAACCCCCTCAAATTTGCGCCAGAGCGCTGGGTTGAAGCGGCAGAACAGGGAATCCCTCTCAACAAATGGTTAACCAGTTTCACTAAAGGCTCGCGTCAGTGTCTGGGCATTGGGTATGTTACGCTGTGCTAATACTAGCCTCTTTGTGCTTGATGTAGACAGCTGATGTATCTTGTGTAGATTGGCGCATGCGGAATTGTATCTCACGTTCGCTCGTGTGATTCGCAACTTTGACATGGATCTTAGAAACACGACTGCGGACGACGTTTCGATCGGTAGTGTGCTCATTATGGGACAGCCTAAAACGAATAAGAATAGAAGCCCGGGTCAGGGTGAGGTTGAAGTCATGATCACTCGAAAGCTCGAGGGTTTATGTTAGAAGAATTTGGGGTCTTGCACTACATGGAACGATATGGGAAGGTGTAAAATATGCAACTACGTCGTTCTGCACTACAAATTCCGAAAACGAGACAATCCAATTTACGTTTCCCCGAATAGTGTCGCCTTATGTTTGTATTTACTACCGCTCCTAGCAACTAGGTGGTCAGTGCTGGCAAAAACAGGTCACGGCGTAGTTGCGACGTCGAGCTTTCTACGCGATATCAATAGCAATATATTAATGAAAACCTATAGATATGAACACTAGAGAAAACCGCGATAATGACTATTTTGTGAAGCTGTACGGAGTACTCCGTACAGCCTCGAGTTGTAGAACTATTTTGGTGTTCGCGTGGGTTGGCCGTCATCATCGGTATCTAATCCGAAGTGCCGTCGCGCCGGCGCGTCGTCGCGTGTTTGTCCAACCATCACTTACATCGCGCGTCTTATCTCGTCACTCTTGGTTTCTCTTACCCTTTCCGAATCACATACAAGTCTGAGGATCGCGTTTGCGACCACAACGCTTTGGCAAGATATCGGCGGTTGATATGACTCTTCGAGGATGTCTACTCAATCGCGGTCGCAGATTGTGCAGTCTAACCCATTAGGTAGTAAAGGATTACTCTGTAGACGGCTTTCGCAATACTTTCAAATCTATATGCAAAGACATTGGCGTCTCCAACTCCTCGCAAGCGCTTGGCCAGCTGGGCCATGAAGGTAGTACGGGCTGAACATTTTTACCGCATTCCTAATACGCATTAGAAACCCAGGATTTGTTAGTCCGTCTTCTCTCTGCTTTGCGAGGCCTCACAGCCGCTCGAATTCTGCAGTTCCAAAATGGAGGCAAGAACCTCTTCTATGGCCTCTTGAGGCTCAATGCACGGGTCAGCTCTGATAGTTTCGACAACGGACGGATACGACCTCTGCTCGATGCAATCATCAACAACCAGCCTAATGAGATTGTTTGGGATAGGGTATACGAAGCCATCACCGAATCCACACCACCGCCCCGCCCTTTCTTGTCCTTTCAACAAACACCGCTGTGGATTAATGCGGGCAGTTTCGCAAACTCGGCCGAGCACCGCAAACACGTCGACGATGTGCTGAAGGAGGAGTTAGGAAACATGTACGTTGGCGTACCCGACTTCTTCGATGCCTTCGGAGATGTGCGAGAACTGGGAACAGCGGCACAGGTTGTATTGGACAAGTGCAAGGAAGGAGACAGCCCGCTCTACTGTGTGGAGAGCGGCTGGCAGGGCTGGCCTGAAAGGGCGAAGGAAAAGGATGTCTTGAGCTGGTTTGCACTGCTTGTAGATCAGCTTCTGGACATTGCGGATAAGCACTTGTCAACATCCCGGAGTTCACGGCCGCTGGCACAGCCCCATCGACCTTTGCAAGGCTCTTCGGCCGATCGTAAGCTGGACGTTGGCTTTGTGGACGACCCGAACGCTGGCGTGGACTCGAAGTACCGCTGATCGCAGATCCTCATACCTGGAGAGCTGAAGAGCAACCCGTTAGCCAACGGAGCGTCCAAGGCGTGGCTTGACCTGGGCCGGTACGCCAGGGAGGTGCTCGCCGCTTCGTTCTTGGCTTCACACTCTGCGGACCCTTTATGCGGCTGTGGGATTTCGACCGACTTGGGGGCATCGCCTCTGAGCAGTTCGACATCAACGAGGATGGACTGCAGTTTCTGTCTGCAGTGTTTGGGTTTCTGTGGATGAACGAGGCGCAGCTGGGGTTCGATCCGACCATCATCACAATCGGAGACCAGCGGTACATTGAGATTGAACGTGAGAATGGGAAAGAGCGCCTCGTCATTGACGAGGTCATAAAAAGGGTGCCCTGCGTTGATGGTCGAGCAACGACTTGCTAGAAAGTTCACCAAGAAGAAGCCCCTGGCACGCCGCTTGTGGTCAAAGATTCATGGCAGTATCCAGAGCGCGAAGAGGAGGGTCAGCTGCTACGCGATGCGACAGAGTAGGGTGTGAAAAACGTCGCGAGGTACTTCCACCACGAGACGGTCCATGTACACGGTCGAGACGACGTCATCTGCGCAAATGTACGGAATGGGCTGGACATAACGAAGGCAATGAACTACATGCCAAAGAGGCAGATGCCGCCGCCAAATAACACTGGACGTTGGAGAAACGGGGGCAGCAACGTAGCCGGAAGGAAGCGATCTTCGAGCTCCACGAACGCCCCGTTGCCACCCAGCAAGCGCCCTTGCTCTAGCTCTCCCACAAAACCTGTGATTTTGAATAGGATCCACCGCCGTGTGATCGTCCGCGACTACGGGAAGGCCATCTACAAAGCAAGCTCCCCAGCCAGTCTGCTTGCTGCATTCGAGCAATGCATTGACGGATATGAGTCATTACGCACACGAGGTGGCATATCACCAAACAGCCTTATGGTGAACGAGGATGCCGAGAACCCGTCCTGGCCGGCGTTCTTGGTCGATCTCGACCTTGCGATCGACGAACAGCGGGAGATGTCTTCCGGGGCGCGTGGGAAGACCGGCACGCGAGCGTTCATAGCAATTAGAGTGCTTTTAGACGACTAACAACACTCGTTCATGCACGACCTTGAGTCATTCTCCTGGGTCCTTTTCTGGGTGTGTGTTCACTGTGATGGGCCTGGCAAAGACATTGGGCCAACTGAGTTTGAATGTTGGAATTACGAGAGCAGTGGAAAACTAGCGGAGCTCAAAAAGGCCTAATTTCTGACGAGAGGGATTTTCTGAAGACTGTTAAGGCTAAATTCACAACTTGCTACAAACCGCTCGCTCCTTACGTCAATAGATTAAGGAGGAAAGTATTTCCTGATGGTGGGAGATGGAGGGATTCAAATTCAAAGCTGTACTTAGAGATGAAGGAGATACTTCGGGCAGCACGGGATGACTTGAAGGAGTTAGAGGGATAAGGAGATATATCATTCGGTATGCTTGAGATACACACCCGTGAAGACAATCGGTCACTTTCTTTAGCCATGTGGCAGTACAAACACATTTGTTTTGAGAGGTCTTTGGCCACCGCTTTTGAAGGCATTTCTACCTGATTTGACATTCATTCCATAGAGAAATTTTGTTCTATCTTTGTAGCCTGCGCTCTTGGTCTGCAGGGGGCTTATCCTCTAAGGCTTGGAGTAAACCCTTCTCCGTGTCCTCAAGCATGAAGAGCTGCTGTAAGTCAATCTACAGCAACGCGTCATATGCTCTCAAATTAACTCGAGGAATAGGCTTGAGGATTAAGAAAGGTTCTGCCTTCTTGCCGGGTTGGTATTGCGTTCTGTTATTGAGATGACTACTGAATTGATATTTGCCTGCTCAATAGTACAGCGCTAGTTGAGAAATATGGGTAGAAGAGGGAGTTTGGGAAAGCAAGTGCGTACGTGTTTAGGGCGCGTGTGTATGTAAGAAAGGGAAAGGAGGTTGGGCAGACGCTAGATTGGGAAAGGCTGCGAGGTAGCAAGATGAGCCTGCAGGGGCCTGTAAAACGCGCTATTAGACTGTAGTTTTTAAAGGAACCGTAACCCGATTGGTTCAATGCGTAGGGTTACAGATTCACGAAGAATTGATTGGCCAGTTCCAGCGAACTACTTTGTCCTTCACATTAATAGTAGTTTAATGGTGCCGTAATTTGTGGGGGTTTAGTTCATGGTCTCGCGGATCTCAGTTTAAGCAGGGTCTCGATGCTTAGCTGAAATGAATGGCGCAAACAAGAGGATATATCGTATACCAAAGCATGCTGTAGACAATACAGGATCTCTGCTTTGATCTGTAAGCGACTATTCCAGAAATTTGGTAGTGTTGTGACCCGTTTGTTAGACTCGCTATGTCTGGTGGCACTGGCTGGGCTTATGCACGTGGGACTTGCTGTTGCTCAGTGAAGGGAGAGGTACTACTTTCCTGGTGAGTATTGGCTTTGACCATTCCGAGAGTTATAGTATGTTGAACCTTACTTTCGTTAACTAAACAAGCATTGCTAGATCGGTGTCGAAAAGCTGTACATATTCGGATTCCTATCGTAATATCAACGCTGCAATTTCTTCAGTGCTATATATGATTCACTCGTCCTATACTCATCTATGATCTACGCACGTACAGATGAGCCTAACAGTAATGTTAATATCTTAGCTTCGAACCTGACGTGTAGGCCCCATGACCCTCGCTAGCTCTAACATGAGACGGTAGAGATAGATCGTAAAGTCTTCCTTTCTTAAAGCTTTTCCATGCCATTCACGGCCTGCCTCTGCGATCTCCTGTGCCCTTTTCTTTCCTTGTTCGTGGGCCGTCATGTATCGCATTATCTCTGGCAGTTCGTTCATAGACAAGCTGACAGGAACAAAATGTACCCACGGCACCACACGCTCGTCGTGCCACTCACGAAAAACAGTTTGCTTGAGGACAACGCTTCGTGATTGCAACAGAGTGTAAAACCGCCCGCTGAAAGAGTTACCATCAGTATCAAACGCGAACTGAGCACTCAACTGCCGGGTCCGGGCTTCTCTTTTGCTAACTATAAAGAACTGATTCTGTGCTTCGCAATCCCAGATGTCGCACTGAATGATGTCAGTAAATTTGACATCAAATAAGCTACCATGTTCTTCAATAGCTCGGTAGCTCACCCAGTGTCTAGGTTTGAGTTCCTGGAGATACACGTGGTGAGTCTTGTTCAGGTTTTGTACCAATTCGACAAAGCGTTGTCGATGAGAATATCGCCAGGTACCATTCCAGCTGTAGCTACCAGTGGTACTCCCTGCCCAATAGAGCTTCCTGGCTTTCTGGTCCCATAGAGGATCTTTCTCATCATCATACTCTCCTTGATCCATCTTATCGGTATACCAGGGACTGGGGTACACGATATCGCCAAAAGAACTAGGAGCTGCTTGAGATAAGATAGGAAGGTGCGTATTAGTAAGAATTGCCGTCATCGGGGATAAGAAGAAACCATGTGTTAGGGCGAATTCAGGGTGTAAGCAGACATCCTTCTCTTTAGACCAGTCCCCAACCAATGACAGCCTGGAGTCATAGGTACTACAGGCGTTCTGGTTAGGCGAAATATGTGCGCAAAGGCTAACTGTGTGATTCCATATCGATGAGTGACTCGCTTCAATAAATTGAGGCTCCGATATACCACTAGTATCAAGCATCGGTGGTTTCGGAATGATTCGGGGTTCATCCAACAAATTTATGAGAAATTCAACATCAGGGATATCCTGAGACACTTCGTTTAGAAGGTTTCCGAGATCTTTGGCAAGCCAGTGGTTTTCTTGCATGTAGTACTGTCCGTTCCGGAATCCGCATATTCGTAGGGCAAGATGCTCCGATTTCGACGCATAATCAATGTTCTTGTGAAGATGATTGGGATCAACTTTCCAAAGCTGACTTAGACCCTCGTTTATCATGTCGAAATCATCAATCAAGACTGAGTGCTTTGATTTTGCATAGAAGAACCATTCGTCAAACCCAGGGGGTGGATCTCGTGAGTATCTTCTCTGATACTCAATCTTAGCAGATTCGAGTGTTTTAGACTGCCGGCTGACGAGAAGCTCAAATTCCTCTTGAGCTTTACGAATGCGTATCTCGACGGGGTGATCTAGACTCCGGTTAATGCGCCTAATCCAGGTTACGATAGGAAGGATAGATCTAATCACCCTGCGTGGTATTATGCAGAAACAATGCAGCAGGCCACAGAGCGAGCGCAACTATTAGGAAGCAGATTTTGCTTTTGGATAAAAATCTCATAACTGTGAAAAGATAGTAAAAATAGCAAGACGTACCAATAATCATGCGATGATAGGGATTTAAATGGCAGCAACAAAGCACAGGCAAGTGCAATGACATCGCGAGATGGGGCTCGGGGCATATTGGCCGTTGATGGCAAGGGGTTGTATCTAGTGCCATGTTCAGGGATTACTTATTTTCGTGAGAAACAGATCCATTTGAGGGATGCTAATTGGAAGAATGCGCCGCAATCCTCCACAGCCGAGTGATTCTATGACCAGGGTTGATGGATAGGTAGAACACTGGGACGGTGTAATCAACAGAGTAAGCATAATAAGGCCAAACACATAACCCACAACTACTCTGAGTTGACATTTAGAGCTTCCTATCTTAGTATTTTATATGTATCTCAGCTTCCCGTGTGATTGTCCAAAGGCTTAACTAGGATACGATATCGCGGACAAACAAGGGTTCTAGCAGAGGGTTCATGAACCTGGTCAGCACAACACTACGCTCTCCCTGATCCGAAGACGCTTTACCAGAAACATAACTAGTTCAAGAGCTGCAGTGCATTCAATGTGATACCGCATGAGTTCTGTGATGCGGTTGCGAGAGTTAAGATGAGAAAATGCTTCATAAGAAAGGTTAACTACTAAATTTATTATTTATTGTAGCCTCAAGTCTCGCATTTACATATTGGCATCCGATCAGCACGAACATGAGTCACACTATCCACAGCATCTGTGTTTCCTTTGATCAATTGTGTAACACAATTCCAAGGACGCTCAGCGGGTTGAGTGACCAAGACAAAGTTTTGAACAGAAGGATGATACTCAAGGCAAGGCAAACAAACAGACTCACTGCCAATGTTTCCGGTACAACGACAAAACTCTGAAACCCAACCTCCATGTGCAAGCCTAATAGTCGCGAACTTATCCACCATGTTGCACTTGTTCAAACGCACCAACTGGAAAGCGGGCCCAAAAACTCTTTTCAAAGTTTCCTTGGTCAGCGCGCCGACCGCAGCAAATCGGTTCTTGGGACCCAAAGCACCATATGCCTGTACCACCAGGTACGAGCGTCGTACGTCCCTATTAGATTTAGCAACGCCAATACGGCATTCGGAAGAAAATAGAGGGTTGCTCTTATGGCATACTGGTATTCTGCCAGTCTCCTTCACAAGGTACCCACGCATTGCTCCATTATGGAACACAATACCGACAGAAATTGCGAGTCTCTGCAACACTAGCGCAATGTTAAATTCTTAGTCATGAAAGCGCTGCTGCCATATAACGCACCTTTGACATGCTTGATTAAGAATTCTACTTGTTTCTTCGTCCCAGAGAAGAAACAAAGCGCTACACCCGCCGCTTGCACTTTCAACCAGTGTATCCATGCCATCTCCACTTCCACCATTTCTGTGTCGACTAGTTCCGAGCACGCCTCCTTATACTCTAGGATCTTGTCATATTCCAGAAAATCGTGCAATCTTGCCTCCGGCCCAAATTGCTCTACAATTATGAGTTGTAACTCCGGGGGAAGTTTTAAAAAACGCTTTATCAGCTCGTTAAAGTATTCTAGCTTGGATCTTTGGCAGTTAGGACGACATATTGTGTTTTTAGCTTCGGAAGAGACTGTTCTGTCAAATGATGTACACCCTTGGCTGTCTCTCACACAAACACTTTCTCTTTTGCTTAGGAGACAATTCGCAGTTCTCGCATCGCCACGGAAAATTGCATCCTGAAGAGCCGTATGGCCTTTGTCATCCTTTGCGTGAATACCCGCGCCCTCATCAACGAGAGAGTTGACGATATCCACGTCGCCACGAGCTGCTGCTACGTGAAGCGGAGTTAAACCCAAAACGTTTTTCGCGTTCATACATGCGCCTTTCTTCGACAGCACGCCAAATACGAATTGCCCTTCTCTGGCGGCTTCGTGAAGAGGGGTATCGCCTAAGCTGTTTTGTGCATTTACGTGGGCTCCTTTGTTAACAAGCAGGACAATGGCCTTTTTTTTACCGTGAGCAGCGGCTATGTGAAGTGGAGTCCGACCAAGATTATCGTTTGCATGAACGTCTGCGCCATTGTTCAAGAGATAAGCGATAGTTTTCACGTGGCCGCGAGCAGCTGCATCGTGCAGCGCAGTACGACATCTTCCATCGGTTTCATCAATGTACATTCCTTTGTTGCAAAGATAACGGACTGAGCCGACACTGCCGCTAGCAGCTGCCTCATGAAACGCAGTGCAGCCATGATAATTCCTCATAATCATGTCGGCTCCTTTCTCAACAAGCAGGCTCACTGCCTTGTTCTTGCCACAAGCAGCTGCTTCATGAAGTGGAGTCCAACCGAGGTCATCTTTTGCATTGATTGCTGCTCCTTTCTCCAAAAGACGTCTGATGGTTTTAATATGACCACGAGAAGCGGCTTCGTGAAGCGCGGTACGGTTGTTGAGATCTTTAAGGTCGGCCCTAAACCCTTTAGAGAGAAGTAAAACCACAGCTTTTTTATGGCCCCGGAGACATGCTACATGCACAACTGATTTTCCTTCTATGACAGTCTCAGAAGCAATGCGCTCTCTATTGATTGTCTGCTGTATTTCCTTTATATCGCCCTCAGCCACAGCAGAGCTGAGAGTAGAACAAGCTCGCATGTTGTGGTCCTTAGGTTGATTCACTCCTACTACTCCGTTTCAGGCCGGCCCTGGGATATTCAGCTTTGAGTTCTTATGTAGCATTCCTAGATCGCATGTACAACTTGGAAAATGTATAATGTCCTATAACTCACTGCAAATAACTGATATGAACTGTTTGTGAGGAGTTCAAATTTTACGTACTAGAAAAAGGCTAGTACATTTTAAAAGGCTCAGTATGTAGTTGAGTAGTATAGCCGTATATGTACCAAACCGTAATAAGCTGGTTACACAGCATAAGCTGCAAAGTAAGCGCCATCACTAGTATGTCGCGTCAACGCCACTAACATTGTCCCCAATAGAAACGTATGAAGCAATTAGAACTTCCCACCATATCGCCATCGTGCCACACTTAGCAGGACAATCTAGATAGTTATATATTGGAAAACTTAGTACACTCTCATGCAGTTGCAGCTTCTGTTTTACACACTCGGCTCAACTATATCTCGCATAGGTTATTAATTCTCTTAGTACATGCTTGCTTAGAAGAGACTTAGACTCCATAGATATCTCCGTTTAATTAGCCAGAGTATCGAGGAGAAGATTGACCCATGGCATTTGTTGACAAGAGCTAGCACTATTCAGGTAAGGTCACCATTAGATGAGAGAGATTTAGCATGGGATTGGAAGTCGCCTGCTTACAGAAACCGGAAGCTACAAGTGCATAAGAGTGTAGCAAGCACCCAGAGTTTGTGAGATTAGAAAGGTTCACCATCGTGTGGTAAAAGAATACATGCTTTTCAATCTTCAGAGAAAACCCAACGTCATGCATTCCGCCACAACCGCATCTTAGAAGAGAGTCCTTGAGCCTCTAGCTTCCTCGTCGACTACAAAGTCCTATATCACCAGCAACGCTACGATTCGCTACCAACTTTTCCTCAGACTGCCTCGGATACACTAGAGGCCTAATGCATGTATGTCAAAGCCTATCAACCTGGACAGATATATAAAAAGAGTATATCTCTAGCAGGGCACTCCTGTATCGGAGTAGTTGCGCTGCTTTGCAGAGCGTAGCTCGTAAAAAGGTAGCCACTTTCAAGCAGCTCAGTGGAATTATGCACAAGCTGATCCCAGGCTCTTCTTTTTTCACGCTACGATGTCTTCCTCAACACTGATGCCTGCACATAGCTTTCCTGCTGCAACTGGTATGAGCCCCTGTACTTCTGCTTACTCGTCTATGTTAACTCCTGTTGCAAGACTTTGATATACAATATCCACGCCAATCGCACTAGTTCCATGCGCTGCTCTTGTATATAGAGAACGATTACATTCAAGATGTCGGCGCCAATCTATTTTAGCTCAACTGGAATGCGTGGGTTTTAGCCACGATAGATTAAGGTCTGCTACCTCCTGGGTGTAATCAATTTGAGCATGCTATGGCTTCTCTTCGCAGATCGTAAGAGACGTCTCTTTGGATTGCGGTATACACATTTGAGTATTGAACAGAGATGTAGAGCCACATTCGGATAAAAGTTAAGAAGTGGCAGAGCGACTGACAGCTGTCAGAAAAGATCGATAACATGTCTAAGTCAATAAGCTAGTTTTAAGGGAATAATATTTAGGGACTGTTCTCAAGGAGTGATAGCTGTAAATAGGTCTATTCGTCTCTACTGCAGCTTTGTTAACTCGCACATTCGATTTTCTGAAAGCGCAAAGTGCAGAACTGTCTCGTCTTAGGAACCGTCTCGTTTTGGGATACTTCCCAGGCTTCAGAGATAGATGCTAGATCTTCGATAGCAACTGCGCTATCAACAAAAATCGCAGATAAAATCAAGTTTTTGGTCCGTGCCTAGCTACTGCGCCTTTTGCAACTCTTCCAACCTTTGTTGCAATCGCTGCACTGTGGCCGATGGTATTTTCGTACAAGCAATAGCTTCATTGTGTAATTCGGACTTTGGCCTGTTTTTGCGTCTCATATCGCATGCTTCATTCCATCTTATTCGTTCATCCGGCACTTGCCCTTTTCTTTTTTTGTATCCCATTTTAGTTTACTCATTTGTTGACGACCTAGGCAATAGCATTTTCGAAGCCCCTTTTCTTCTTTGGCAGAGTTTTAGACAGCATCTGGGACTCGTTGCGTGTCTTCAAATGCCTTTCTGGTAGGATTGTGAGTGAGTATAGCTGTTGAATAGTTAGTAAAAGCAATAGAACAAGAACATGTGGTTTTCGCACACGCCGGCAGTACACTCTCCATCTCGATCTTCACCCTGTTCGAATTGCGTGGCATTCCTAATGTTCCGAATCGCGGCACTGCTGAAATTCAGGAGTAGGCAGCTACATATTCATATTCGATAATGGCACCAGTGTTGTAGAGAGGAATCACTTACATATGCTTATGAGCCATTGATTTGATAAAAAACACACGCCTAGGAAGCCACGCCATGATCTTTCCGGACACCGCATTTAGCAAGTGACTACATGAACAATGAATGCCCTTTGGCCCCTTACGAGTTCTGGCTGGGGGACACCGATAACACGGATGACTTTTACGTGATTTAGATACAAGGCTTACGGGCCTAACCTTGTTTGTAGTTCGCGTAGGCCACTACGTATGATGAACTTGATGAGTTCGCCCCCCACGGTGTCTGGTACCGTGCCTTGTTCTGCATCGAAGGTCAGCCATGGGCGCGATGGTGGAGGGTACTGCGAGGGACTCCACTGTAGTCTGCCAGGAGACGGTACAATCTGAGAACTCTTACTTGTGCACGAAGACTAGCCACAGAAACACTGCCATGGTCGTTGCTCGGAATGCCGCAGTGTTGGAATTCCAGTAGCGTGGTATGCCATGCTGATCATCATTTGCTTACGCTTACCTCACGCTAACGCTACGCAGGCATAGAAAGGGCCTTAGGAATATCACCAGCGTGGTATTCCAAGGGTAAAGAAATCCATTGTGGCAGCCAATTAGACTCGCAGACATCTTGCAAGCTAATTTATCAGTTCCGGTGCAGAGGGATGTTTGTCACGGAGGGACGCACATTACACGAAACGATTTGCAGAAAGCCAGGAGTAGCGTATTGCCTTCAAGACATGTTCAATATAACAGCGCTCGCTCGCGAATTTGGGGAAAGATATTGAAGAATTTAGCTTAGTACTGCAGAGGATTGTCAACTGGAGTGGACTGATAATTCCAATAATCAGAGAACACTGGGAGGACAAGGCCGAATTCTATAGCTTGCTGAAATGATCTCAATTTTTGCTAACTCTTCTAAAACTGTAGTTGAAATCGTCAATAACGACGCTTGACAACAATGTTATTCCGTGAGTTCAGAGCGAGTCACAGGACCTGCACCTCTGGTTTTACCTGTTTGCACTAGCTAGTGAATGTTTGTGCTAGACATCAAGCTGATTCGTCTTCTCCGCAGCCTTAGCCTCGAGACTATGCTGCAATCCTCCTACATAATCAATGAAATCCTTCATTTTATCTGGGTTTGCTTCCTTCGGAGTCTGATTCTGGAGATCTTTTATCAGTTCGCATACCTCAGCACTGCTTGAAATTACGTTTGTGGTGTAATCTTCGACTGCTTTGGATTGTCTTTCAAGATAACCATTGATGGTGTGAATCGCTTGTGTTGCCTTCTTCTTTGAATCCAGATCTTTTAACAGTTTGAAAACCTGAACAACGATTTCTTTGGCAACTTCCAAATTCGTGCGGGATAGGCTGGATAGCAGCGAATGGGTTGTTGCTAGAGCATGTCCTTTGTAAGTAGCTACCTCCTTCTTTGCTTCCTTCGTAATCTCAACCTGTTCCTTCATCTTGGCTAAAGACTTCGTGACGATAATTTCTTGCTTTTGAATTTTGTCTTCAAGTCGGGTCCGATCCGCAATGAGCTGCACAATCTCAGCCTTGTGATCGGCGATAGTTTTGGTGAATCCTTTGTTCCGCTCCGTATTCTGCAAGTTTGCTACCATTCTTCTTAAACTAGAAATAGTTTGCGTCTGATCTGCATCCTCACGCTTGTAGAAGTCATTCGAAATTCGGAGATCTTCTGCTTTAGCAAGTGACAGCTGGCATTCATGCTCAAGTTTCGCTTCCCTCTCGATAGCCTTGTTCAGTTGCTCCTCTGTTTCTCGACACTTTTGTAGTTCCTCCTCCGCATTCTTGATCTTCTTTTGCAAGCTTTTCCTTTCGTCCTTCGCCTTGCGAAGAGCGTGTGCGCTCTTTCCCGCCTTCAAGCGAAGCACAACGTTTGTCTCGGCAAGTTTGCGATTCAAATCGTCCCGAGTCTCGATCATCTCAGAGGATGTGATGCAAACCTTCTTTAGACGAGCTCTGTTATCCTCAAGGGCCTGCTTGAGGCTGTTTTTTTGGATTTCTTTTAACGAAATGGTATGCTCAATTTCCATAAACTTCTGTATAACATCCTTTTTCTGCTCGTCACTTGTATTACTAGCCTCGAAGTTGGCGAAGGCACTGTGATGGAGATTCCTTGCGCTGGAACTGAGTTTTGCCGCTTCTTGGCTCCACTGGTGACCCGACCAGCTTCCGGCAGCAATTTCTCGTTCATAATACTCGGTCGCCTGCCTGCATGCAAGCATTGCCTGCTCTGATTGGTGTTCGATGTGAGCTATATAACTTAATAGAAAGTTGATATGATGGTGGAGGTTGTTGATCATCTCAGTAGCCGTGTAGATCTCAAAAGCTTGGGCTTGGAATGTATGTTGGAACATGTTGTTTAGCGTATGCGCTTCAGAAAGTTGAGCCTGAGCTTCTTGAACCTTGCCGAGAAGTCGATAGTTTTGGTTCTGCAACTCAGTGTTCTGCTGGTTAGCAGACGCTATAATCTCTCGGGCCTCCATATTGAGAATTTTGCTTATACTGTATCTAGATAGGTAATGAATAGTCCTCGTTTATGGAATTCGGAATCAATAGATTTGCACAAAAGATTGAATAGAAAATACTTCAATTTATCTAATATTTTTTTCCATCATGTGGCGGCATAATCGGGAGATTGGAGCTAACCAGGGAGCAGTAGGCAACCAATTCAGGCGTCGAGCCAGCGGTGAAAGGCCTGCACAACACCCTTGCCCATTCAACGCCACAGCGCCTGCTCCAATGGCCGCCGAGGGGGCAAAGCCTTGGAGAGCTTTCGACTTGTTTATATTGTCCAACCTGATAATGTGCAAAGACGACAGCAGTAGCGATATCAACGCTTGAAGTAGCTACTATACGCGCGTTCACTAGCGTCGCGAGTTGGCAGCAGACCTTCTTTTCTTGATACTTTTTACCAGTGCTTAAAGTACAGGAGTACTTGAAACTACAGCTTTACGTAAGTCATCCAACACAACGTGTTCATCTGCGACATTCAAGTACATTGGTTCCTACCAGGTTCCTCTAAATCCAGTACTGTGCAAGCCTCACAATTGCATTTTCTGCTCGGCCAAGCCGAGACTTGAACTGCTGCAGCATTCCATGTGACACATCCTGCTAATTATTGTCTCTTAAGATGGTTGGAGGCTGAGCCTAAGGACTTGCAAGGTCAGTATTTTCTGGTGTTGCTAACTCCTTAGCTGGAGTTTCGAGTCGCCCAATCTCTTCGCAAAATTTTCGACCAAGAGGTAAGATAGCCTTTGCAATAGCAGCATCAGCCTCGCATAGCTCCAAGATGTATGGTACGAGCGACTTGGTGGACGTTTGACTGATAGTCTATAGCGCGGCCCTAATGTTAAGGGGGTTATTCGCCATACCAATAAATCAGGACACGCGATCTGTAGAGTCTGCGTGCTTCCAATATAGGATGGATGTATACTCTTGGATACATAGTAAATCACACTTGCCATCTTGCTGCCATGATGTTATGAGACTGCCCGAAACGGCAATGAATACAGAGCTCATTAATTCCTGAAGCTCATTTGGGACGCGCTTGGGCCGAATGACGAGACATCCATGGATCGCGCAGACCCCGGGCTCTTTCATTGCCTATTAGTCCAAGCCTATATCGCTAGCCTATCAGCTGTTGGATTTGCCGCTGGATCTCTCTGTTGGCTTGTGACCCGAACTCTGTGCATGGCACAGCCATGTCACCTAGACCGTTATTCGCAACGCGTCCATGCTCTTAGACGCTTACTAGTCGAATCCCACGCGCTCAGACCAATTTACGAGCCATACTAGCCAGCCCAATTTACGGGCCGACGGACTCGCAGCTCTGCGCTCAGGCCAATTCTCGACGCCTAGTACTAGCGCCCCTGTGCATCCAGCTGTCGGCTACGGAACGGCCTCAACCTGTAATAGCGCACAAATAAACCAACAAGGGTGAGAAATGAAGAGAGGATGAGGCACCCGGAAACAGCGATGAGTCGGTATCATGCTGCACGTTTTGACGCTTGAATACGGTCTTCTTACTACCCGTCCCATCCGTTATACTTGTATGACTCGTAGCCCACAGCGACCTTCATTGATCGTCTAGATCCGCTCCAGGCACTTTCATCGTCATATGCCCAAGAATGACCCATGGAACCACCGTTTTTCTTATCCCGAGTAGGCCTTCTCATTCCGAAGCCCAGTATATCATAATCGATACGTTTGAATGTTTTGTAATGCTCACGCATGAGTGGCGCTTGATAGCAGCCGTGCGTCTGGAGGACTCAGAAGGGCGCACGAGCTATCCAGGCCAAACAAGCTTGGACCAGTGGCTGACAGCCGATGATGCAAAATGTGGGGCGAAAGCCGCTGGGACAGCCGCTGGCCCTGACAGGGATGCTGAGGAGGAGCGAGGCTCTTGTTCGGGGCACAGCGTCTGGTCGTAGGGACCATTCGGCCCAGCTGGAGGTGATTCTCCGGCAGAGGACTATGTGCTCTGGGGTTTTAAAACGCCCGTAGGTGCATCTTAGCTCCGCGTTCTCGTGGTTAAACTTCTGGTGATACCACGCGAAGTCGCCGTGTTGGGTCCGGAGGGCTAGCAGTTTTGCAAGGTTCGGTCTAGGGAGGCTGAGTTCTTTGGGGGTGCGTTCGGGTAGGTAGGACAGTTCCCACTGTCTACGTATACCAATCTGACAGCTTCGCGCTGTTTTGTCCCCACCATCTTTGGTGAGCTGCGGCTACCGCCCTCTTCCTCAGAGACCGTATTCCTGATATTGTTGGACTACCGGCCAGTCCATACGGTGGCGATGGGTCCTTAGCTTCCGCGTCGGCGAGTCCGTCCGCAGTCTCGTTGCCGTCAATGCCGGTGTGTCCGGGGGCCCATCGTATGCTGACCTCCAGCTGTGCCATGACGGCATGCGCTGCCAGGAAGGCCCATTGTGAGGTTGCGGACGCGCTTCCTCTTAGGCACCAGATTACTGAAGTGCTGTCTATGCATGGATAGAAGCGGTCTTGAGGTCCCGCCAGCTCGGTGGTGTGTTCGAGCGCCCTTGCGGCCCCGACTGCCTCCGCGTCGAAAACGTGAGACATTGGGTTCAATGATCCTCGGCCTGAGGCCACCAGTGATTGGGCGCGGTAGATCGCGTACCCGTAGGTTACCCTCTTTTGGCTGTTGACCTTCTGCTCAGAGCCGTCTGAGAAAATTGTGACGTCGTTATCCTCGAGGGAGGCCCACCATTCTTTGAACTTTGCCACTGCCTCTTCTTTCGGGTGGCCGTTTGTTGGGTCAGTCCTGCAGTCCTTTGTGAAATGTGGGACTGTAAGGACCGTTCGTGGTGCACTGGGTAGTAGCTGTCCTACCCTTTGGAGTTTGGTGCGAGGTTGCTGGTTGCCCCCAGCTCCTCTGCCGCGGCCTATCCTGGGGATTTGCATGCGATGGACCAGTGGGTGTCCTTCGTCGACCGTCTGAAGACGGTGGGCAAATCTCCATTTTGTCTCTTCCAGCGCCCCCTCTGCGGCGGGGATGCCGGCCTCTCGTAGGAGAATTGTTTTGGGCGTTGTCCTAAACGCTGGGAGTACCGCGCGTGCTGCCAGAGTGATTATGGTGTGTATAAGGTCGATGTGGTTGCCGACTCGTGTGCTGACCAGCTTGTCCTGGCTGCGTCTGGCGATCCTTGGGTTCTTCTTCCGGCCCTCGTACCAGGCTTCTGTCCCGTAGAGTAGGGATGGGAGCACGCATGTGGTGACCGCTTTTCGGAGCGCGTCGGGGGGCGACCCATCGTTGATCTTTGCGAGTCCCCTTAGGTGAGCGGCCAGTTTGCGTGTGGCTGCGATCCTTTGGGCGACATGCTTCTTAAAGGTCATCCGCCGGTCGAACCAGACTCCTAGCCAGCGGAGGGCACTCTGCCCCCCATCCGTTGCAAGAGTCTCAGTCAACTCGCTCTAAGTTCCTCCTGTCACAAATCACATCTTGTTGGTAGTTATGATTATTGTTCTGATGACTCTAAACAGCAAGTAATGCAAGAAAGAATTCCTGCGCCTTTTTCACAACACGAACCTCACCATATGCACTATGTATAGTTTCGTGGCGATCGCAATTTGGTGCATATTCACTCATATTGGTGGCTTGCAGTAAGGCGCGCCGCTCCAAGCTGTATCATGCTGGGTGCATCCGGAGGTGTAGCTTGGCCCTTGTTCTAAGTGGATCCTTTGTAAGTAAGTATGATAACTCGCCTTTGATAACTCCTTGCGTTTCACTCATGGTCACAGGGGGTATATAATTACGTAGGGAAGCTAGTAGGCAGCTCCATCTGGCCCCCAGTTATCTACGACAATGGACACGGTTCACCCTTGCCTCGCTCAAAGACCAGCCACTGTGGCCATGGCGACCGACACGCCAGCGGCGTCATGAAGTATCGCAAAGCGAGGAACTAAAGTTCTAAGTAGTGTGGCTTTTGGCGCGAGTTTGAAGCAAATATCATCTTCATATAGTCAAAAATCCAGGTCTTTTTTGCCAAAATGCGACTTGCTAAATTTTCCTATGATTTGCGAAAGCGGAAGGGCTCCAGTGTACATTTGTTAGCGGTTGCGGCTTCACCCCTAGATAGCTGCGCAACAGTTCCGAGCTGCCCTACCTTTCGTGTATGGCTGAACTAATACTGTAACTAATCTACTTGTAGTTGTGCTAACTAGTTTAAATGCAGCGCCAAGCATGGTACTCTTCTCAAACCATGTAGTTACAGACAAAGGGCTATTTTTAGCACACAAACGTTAGGGTGCAGTACTATCAGAAGTTGCTCGTCGTGCCTTGTGTTGCCATCACGGTCAAACTCACACCGCCGCCCGACTGTATGGGCAGTGCCTCGGGAGGGCATACCGCCAATCGCTGGTATCTGCCAACGATCGGCATTGTCTCTCTTGTGGCTTACAAGGTTTCAAGCACCTGAGCGCATGCAGTGGAACATCGGAGGATTGCATGTGGTCCATTTTCCTAACAGCTAGAGGATGATTGCAACAGGTTATGGAAAATGATAGCATGATAAGACAAGAATTCACCCGGGTTAGGCTAGCTATCTTAGGTCGTGGCGAGTTCCATGGACTATTTAACTAGTTGTGTCTTTTCTTGCGCCCAATACTTTTTTTCACATGTTCCTTTTCAATAACTTCACTAAATACTTGGAGACTATATTAATCAAAGTGATAGGCAATATGTAGCCTTGACCAGTAACCCCTTAACTATGCAGGTCAACGCCAACGTCTACTCAGACGTCACTGAAAGAGTCATGACGGATGCCAATGGCCGGGGTGAACACGAAGTTACACCGACTTTGAAACGTGAATTTTCATCTCATCAAACGCAATTGGCTTGATTTTGGTATCATTGGGAAGTTCAGGCTGTGATATTGGGTGCTGCTAGTTCCAAAGAAACCAAGCTATTTAGCACTATGGCTCGCCGTAGGAAGCAACCCCTGCGTGCGCAGTCACTCATCCACAACTACGTACTCGCTATACAGACCATCCGCATGTTCGGACCCTCCAGCTATCCTTATTGGATCAAGAACCTCGTATTCTCTTTTTATCATCTCCTCAATCTTGTTGTTTTCTAGGCGCAGAGCCGCCATAGCAAGAATAAGCTGTGGTATACGATCCCGCTGGTTGGAGTATTGTTTGGGATCGTGAGAGCAGGTGGCTGCGGCATGAGACGCGGGGCGAGAGAAGGCCTTCCCAACCTTCTCATCCGCAGAAAGCCGCTCCTCATGGCCATTTGGGTTTCTATCAACCGCTTTGGAGGTATTCATGAGACTAAATTCCACCAATCTATACTCTGGTAATTGCCGAAGTTCCCGATTCTTACAATATATAGCCTTGATTCCACGTGTTGACTCTATTGCTTGAAAACAATTTGATCAAAATGACCTTAACTGTTGTTAGCCATGCCTTCAGTTACTTGGCCACGGATCTCCCGAACCGATTGAGACCCAACACCCGTGGAGCCTGTTATGTTCTAGGAACCTATTCAATAGGCAAAATAACGGCCTGCGCTGGTCAAAAGTCTATGTAGCATGCCAGAATGCGGAAACTCTAAATAGAGAAAGACTACCCTTCATTGTATCTAGCGAGACAAAGTGGAAGAATTAAAGCGTTCAACTCCCCTTGGGTCCATTTGGAGTGGGTATCTGATGTGCTTTCATCAACCTCAAGCAGAGGGTCAGCAAGTGCTACCTGTAAGCAAGTAGCTGTGAACGTCCTGACAGTTACTCAGTTTTCCACTATATTCCATGAACCGACGCTTTGCGTCTCTCATAAGCACAAAGATCCGGGACTGCATATCGCTTTGTCATGGATCATCTGCTTACGCGTCATCGTAAATAGAGTAAGCATGCTATCGTATCACTGCCGCACTCATCGCCCTTACGCGGTTTCGCAATTTTCTTACTAGCGTTATATAACAAATTGGCACCTAAGATGAATTGATCGTCACTGGGCCTGCTTGGAATCTCTCTTCAGAAATTTCTTCCGGTCAGCCATCGTGGTCCAGCAACCATGAAGAGCTGCAAGCATGAATCCTGGCTGTCTCTACATGGAGAAGAGAAATTTCTGTTGCATTGTGCCAGTACTTTGAACGATATAATCACAGGCCTCGACAAACCTGCTAGCAAGAGCCCGAGTCTGGTCGTCATGCTTGGCAGTGCTGCAAAGGGAACCTTATTGACTGATGCTTTTCCCTATAGTAGAACCTGTGTGAGCAGCGAAGCATCTCATGGAGTGACTCTGCAACTAGATTCGGCTACCGCTTTTAGTGACCATCCAATCCTGATTGCACACGAAGATATCTCGAGACGGAGCACGGCCTTAGCAGAGCCCGCAGCCGCTCCTTGTCACCGCCAAACGGTACGTGGATTGCAGTGGGAAGCGGGTAGTTTAACTGAGGCTTTTGATAGCCTACATAGTAGACTGATTCGCCCTTTTACGGACGTGGTTTGTTTCTTCTCTACAGGGACTCGCGACGTGCGCCACCAGGTGGAGCGTATGTTACCGTGGCTCGAACAGACACGTGATCGAGAGTCCAGTACCACAGCACATCCTCGATTACTCTTTGTAGCATCATCTACAGAAAAACGAAGCGAGGCCGCTGTAAAAAGTCATTTGGTAGAACTCTTACGTACGCGTTCGAAACAAAACAAATTTGACTCATTTTCTCACCTCTCTGTGTATGTCAAGCATACTAGCACCCAGACGCTTACCGACCGCATCAAACGCGAAGTGGATGCAAGTAGAAACGAGCGTGTTCGTAGCCGCACCCTCCTAAACGCAGTGCATTTTGATATTCTCTTTCGTCAGGCTTGCGATCATTTCGTCAGCAACGAACAAGTCCCGTTCGACATGATCGCTGCGTCGCGATCGCACCGCCCCGTGTCTACGCATTTGCATACATATCTGAGCGTCCTTTTTGACTCGGTAGACAACATGGAAGAAATAATAGAGTTTGCAATTCCATTTGCTGCAGGCTGTTTTGTGGTGGATAACTATGCATACGACGTGCCCTGTCAGTGTTTTCTAGTGACACAGAGTTTCGACCTGCTAACTTGCACAAGTCTTCAACCCGCTCCAAGTGTTCACAACTCACTACAAGTCCTATATAGATGCATATGGAAACAAAGTCTTGAAGCCTTCGAGACACGGTGGCAATCTAGTGCTGCTGCTTCGCAGTCAATTGGTTGCACTTACGGAGCAGCACTTCGTAGAAAGAAGTAAGATGCTATGCCCCAATCCTCGCACGAGACTACTAGCAGATTTTCAGCCATGGCTTGCGACGAGGAAGCTTTACAAGGTCTGCTTAGCTTGCATGCAAGCAGATCCGCAGCATAAGCTCACGTGTGGCCATGTGGTCTGCGAGAAATGCTTCATAGATATGGGGAACTCCCCTGCAACGGATCCCTATCTCTACACGTTGAACTGCTGTCCCTTTTGCTCTCAGATATCTGAAGTCACTGTGCGCGTGAAACCAGCCACTGCTGGTCTTCGCGTGCTCTCTATCGATGGAGGTGGCATCCGAGCCGCAATTCCTATACAATTTCTCTGCGCGCTTGAAAACGCTATCGGTCTCGATATCCCGATTCAGGAACACTTTGACCTCGCATATGGAACAAGTTCAGGTATGTTGCTGCAGGAATTTTGTAGTTCTTCTGTCCTCTGGTCCACGTCTGGCTCATTGTTGTATAGGTGGCCTGGTCGTTCTGGCGCTCTACGGCCTGGGTATGCGAGTTGATGAATCTTTCCATTTATTCAGCCAGTTGGCAGCGCGCATATTTCGCGGACGAAGTTATTTTGGATTAGGTATCTTCACTGCACTCTATGCCCTTGTCACTTCGTGGCGCCATGGCCGTTTTCCTTCCAGCGACATTGAGGGTGCCCTGGCGGAGCTCTTTGGCGAAGCCACCATGTTGGATCTCCAGTACGTGTCTTCGATTGGAGCGCGAGTCGGTCTTCCTGTCGTCGATGCCGACACACTCGACACATGTCTAGTAACGAGCTATAACGGATCGACTTCAAGATACAATGATCAGGAATATGCAAATATATCAACATACCGGCTTTTACGCTCAGATGATGCGACAAGTGAGATACGCATTAAGGACGCGTAAGTTGCTCTATCGCAACATAAATTCAACGCTTACAAAAATAGTGCACGATGTACGTCAGCCGCCCCATGGTAAGTGTCTCAAATTATAGCCCGATGAACTGATACCTGATAGCTATAGGTATTTCACGCCAAATAAGATACCTGGTCTTGGTACATTCATGGATGGCGGGCTGAGCGACAACAATCCCTGCATGCTTGCCGTACAAGAGCTGCACAAAATCGCTCCTGAGTTGAGACGTGCAGACCACTTCGTATCCGTTGGGACAGGCATTTCGACTACGCGGAAGGTTGCCAAAACAGGCTTCTATCCTAGTTTACTTTTCGGAAACAGTTCTTTGCAGCAGACGGCCGAGCACTACTGGAGCGAAAATTTCAACGGGGATAAGCGATTCGCCCTCATGCGGCAAATCATGGCCGCATCATTGCCTGGAGGGATTGCTAGCACAAAAAAATGGCTCCATCGATTCAACCTACCCGTAGAAGGTGAGCTACCTAATCTAGATGACTTTTCCGCTATAGGGAGTCTTGCTGAGGCGGCGAGCTCCTACTTTACGGCGGACCCGGCTGTGCGTGACTTGGCCGATGCTGCTCTCGCTCTCACATTTTACTTTGAGTTACAGCCGGGACGCATGCCCATTTATGAGCGCGGCTCCTACACGTGTTATGGGACGATTCGGTGTCGCATCCCGGGGCTCAGCCCCGCATTTTGCCAGTTAATGCAGAAACTCGATTGCCTAGAGGCAACGTTCCAGATCCAAATGCAAGTGTATGATGCAAAAGAAAAGATATCACGATGGCTTGATAGGCATGGGAACTTCGGTAAACCCGTATGTTTGCGTGTTCCTTCGTTCGACGACGAACTAGACATCCGCTTGAGATTGCACAAGGACCGTATCCATCATATCAGTGCTTCACCTATGACCTTTAGAACCCTGATTGACCTACAGATGCTCGAATGGAGTGCGCTTAAAGACATGCACGCCACTCCACGTACGACAAGCAAAAAGAGACGACGAGACGATTCGCCTTTGCAGCCAGCTAAGCGGCATTGTTCAGGGATGCCGTGAAACTATACGCTCTCCAACACCCCCTCCGAGGCGCATAACTTTTGCACTTGCTTGTAATATATGACCATTGACCTCACACAGAGATTGGACCGTCGGGACAACGCTGAGTGCTGTGTAGCCACATTGAAGAAATCACCTGATGAGTAAAGCTGCATCTAAAAAGCTAGCTTAGCTGTGTCTCAGGTCCTCAGAGTGAAGCACAGAGTATGATTGCATCCTGCTATTTCTGGAAAAAGCTCAGACGCACGGTATAGACCAAGATAGAAGCTTTCCAGCAACTCTGGGGGGTTCACAGCCTCAGCTTCAGCCAGAGATTACATAATAGAGACATCAGCCTTGTTGAAGAATCTTACGTGGAGTCATTACCTGTAGCATTGATAACTCGACGTATTTCCAAGACACACTTAAGGCATTGCTATTGCTGACAAGAAACGCGGAACGGCTGCCATGGCTATTATTTCTTTCTCTTCACCGTCTTGGTTCATATAGTTAGTTACTATGCCATGTTGGTCTGCCTGCAATATGGACCCTTTCTTTTGCCTGCATGTCGCCAATACTTCTATTACCGCAAGAGCTCTTATCCGAGATCTGTGCTTACCTTCCCACGGATGGACTAGTCGCGTTGAAGCTCGCGGACCGCATCCTGGATGCCCAAGTACAGATCAATCCGTGGGCATGGTTGAACGGCTAAATCTCGCAGTGCGCACGCGTAGCGATACGTACCTACCTTGTCCCACCAGACTCTGCACGCAAACAACAGTGGTGCGCCTTGTGCCACAGGGACTATCCAGCGAGTACGTTTTGCTCGTCGAACAGCCCTATATACACCCGCCGTTCTCTCATTCAACAAGAATCAGAAGTTGGGGTGATCAAGCTTCCGCCGAGGATGTGTTGCTGGCATGCTGGTCGTCTGACGAGGCTTGTGAGAAACGCGTCGGATAGGGAAGACGAGTGAGTCAGCCGTCTAGTAGAGCTAGTGTGTACGTATGCATTGTGGGTCAGTTCAGAGCTGGGCAAAATGCGGCTGCGATTGCGACAGCTGTGCGTTCCAAACCGTATTCACCTAGTTATACGCGTTTCTTGAACAAAGACACGAAATATAAAAGCTTCACGTTTTGGAAAAGGAGGGAAAGATACGCTGGCGGCGCTAGTAGGCATGCCGGGCCTCAGGGGACACTATACGTAAGAGAAGTTCGCGACAACCCCAGTGCGTTCGTTCCAATACGTAGCGGACCTGGAGGTAGGCTAACATTGACCCAGACGCACAAGGCAAAGTCGTTACGGTGGATTTGCTCGTAAGATTTGAGCCAAGGTAGTCCAGGCTGCCATGCGTTGCCGACAAAGTTCGCACCAGCACTTTGGCTTGTTTGTGTATTATGATATTCGGTAAGCATCTACTAGTAAGTAAGCGAGGCAAGGTGCGCGGCGAGGTGCGCGAGATCAGAGCCGACCGTGACGCAGAACACGCTGACTGTTAGGGCAGGCACGTAGCAGGCTCCGGTGCAGGAGGAGGCGGGGCTTAGCGTGGAATTGAAACAATGACATTTGCCAGTTCACACTGGTAAGACGTGGGGCTCGCAGGGGAGCGTCATCAGGAAAATCGAGTGCGAGCGTAAGTAGTCTGATCTAATGTTATTGGCATCGTAGCCGCGTTCAAAGACTATAGCTTGTAGTGAGCCTGAAACCGAGAAGCCTCAATCCATCTCGCAGAGTGACCGTGCACATGGGCTGATGACTAGTACACGTCAAGATGGCTCCGACATGATGATACTCCACATAACGAGATTTCTAGACGCAAGAGCTCACGCCGCTCATCCAATGGATAGTCAAGAGCAAGAGAGACTTGACTACTCCGAATTAAGCACTCTGCTCCCCATCACGTGACATACCCGGGCAGGGAAGTCACTGTCTCTAGCACGACTTGAACCAGTCATATCCGTCCTCTTGCTGCAGAAATCCGGATTCGCTCTTATTAGCTAATTATTTCCAACCCTTTGCAATCCGCCGTAAGAATGATTTCAGCAACACTGCAGGCATGAGCATCTTGTTCGAAACGGACGAACCCTGCTCCCATCATGGGTGACCGAATGCACCACTTCTTCACGTAAGGATTGTGCATATAGGCGAGCCATGAAAAATGATATCTTAATCTACAAACGGCACATGTTATTATTACCTATATACGTATCTCATGGCTGTGAAGCCTTGATTCATCTATACATTCAGACGGTCAACCAATAAGTTGCACTGTTTGGATCTAATGTCGACCAGCAATAAGGCATGCCTCCACACAGCCCATCCTGATCAAAAACCTTATTTCTCACTGCTGCACTGTAGCGATCCATCGCAGACCGGAAATCTGCTTCCGCCTTTTGTACAGGCTCAGGCATTCTAGCCAGCATTGTTGTGTTGTCAAACATGTGCGCGATCGTCTGGTCACTGTTGACAAAACCAGGGCGGCTGAAGTCTGCCGCTAGTGCGACCTGACCAACAGAAGCTTCTACTTGTGGCAGGAAGGGCATGATGTCGCGAACCCCTTTGGTCATCGGCAAGGGCGTGTAGAATGCGAAAGGGTGCAAAGGAAGGGAACCTGAAGAGGTAGCGAGAGCGTTTAGGTTCAGCGTACCATGTACAACAGACACCAAGTGCGCAACGTGCGTTAGAATGTCGACTAGAGTGCCCTGGTCCTCGATAGACGAGGGAAAGTCGACGATTTGGGCAGGTCTGGCTTCCCTGACCCATGATTGCAGCTCATGATCGCCGGTAATATCGCTAGGATCTGGGTAGTACGACTGTACAACAGCGGCCATAAAACGGCGAATTGCGCTGTGAATTACAGAGGCATCCCGGTGAAAAGGAAATGTCTCGATCCTAGGCCCGAACGCTGAGTCAATCAAGCCGCGTCTTTGCAGATTGAGCTCGAAATAGTTGGACTGGAAAGCGCTGGCTTCGCCCGACTGGTAAAGCGTATCAGTGTAGTTGCTTGCTTCCCTACCGTTCCAGGGAAACAGCTCGTCGATGGGACCACCAGGATAGATCAGGCGCTGAACAGCTACGACCCGGAACGCCCAAGCGTCTTTGAGTACTGTGCAAATCACGTTAGCATCATCCAAAACTCTGCTCCAAGAGATAGCTCACGTCGATGGAGAATGGCCATGATGGGATGTTCTTCGCTCAGTGTTCGAATAGCACTTAGGTACACAATCTCGCCCACTACATGAGTAGCTGCTAGATGATACCACTGTGCATACCAGAAGCTGTTGGAATTGAACATCATCTTCGCCAGTAACCAGTCGCTAGGTAGGTCCTGCGGTGTGTAGACGAGATCCGAACCTTCGACGTTGGGTTTTATGGCGAGCGGCAAGAAGTCACCAGACGCTGGGTGAATGAAGAAATAAGCTTGGCAAGCAGCGCCGTATCTTCCAGTGGTCTTCCGCAGGCTTGCTTGATCGAGAAAGTCGGTAAGAAACAGACGGCCAGCCTCTTGTAGAGAGGCCAATGTTTGGCCGGCAATCGCTCTTGCGTTGGAAACAGCGAAAGGAAGTTGCGCGTTTTTTGGAATACGAGAAATTCGGTATGGGTTCTCAGACAGCTGGGTCATGGAGAAGAGGAGATCGTCTGTGTAGTTCGTCAAGATCCCTGGATAGGGTCCTTCGGGCGCCGATTGCTTCCATTGTTCTTTATACAACTTCGCATAATCGTGTATGCTCTTTAATCCCCCCTCCTAGCTCGAGTTACTTATGAGGACCAACTGTTGGGTTTATTTGGACTACGTACCCTCGAGATCGACGCCGCGGCGATTCTGGAATCGTTGATGACATTAGCATGCACTGCGTCTAGAAATGTGCTGAAGCGATCGGTCACCTTCTTCGCAACGGGACCGCCGATAGAGCCTGACGGATAAAACGCCGTGTCCCCAGCGACCGAAGGACCATACTCCCATCCCGCTCGCTTTTCTGCAAGTGCAAGTGCACGTGTATTCTGATTGGAGGCTTTGGAGATGGTGAACGGGTAAGGCTCTGGATAAGGGTGTTGCGTGGACGCTTCGCAAACAGGTGCGCTTGCGCAGAGCATTAGATAAATCTGGTTCCACATTGTTGATGAAGGGGCTGTGTAGACGAAAAAACAAAAGACAAGGCACTTACGCAGCCTTCAACAGATACGCTCATCATTTTATATGTGACCTCATAGGATTTGTGGATCATAGAACAATTCAAGCAAGATGTTCTAGGCTTCACATTACACGACTCCATTTGGTTATTAGCACCCTTGATCTAGAAAATATGAAGCTGCGAGCCTGATGCAGCTGTTGAGGACGCTGCAACCACTCCCAGAGCCACTTTACCCTAATCATTACTGCATTAGTGCATGGACGTCTCCAAAAGACCACGGTTCCTGTCATAAGCCCCCAACCGTTGGTAGGTCTGGAGAGCACAGTAGAGAACTAAGCATTCCATGCTGCGATTCAACAAATGCTTACATCCAGCTTATGGTGATCACACGCAGCTTATGCCAATACACTTCATGTACCTACGAAAGTGTATATCGCGAGATTTCTGACACCGTCTAGAATTGATATAACTACTTACTTTATACAAAATGCACTGGCAGCAGACTCTTTGCCATCTCAGGCTGTAGATACTGTTCAAAAACACTCGTGCCTGACCTGAATTTGTGAAGTAGTCTCATCTGGTGTGTATGCCGTCAGTACAAGCTCTGAATACTCTATCAAGTAGGTCCACCGCTGCAACAATCTGGAAGTTATTAAATTATAACAGAATGGGCTATGAGAGCCTCTTATGGATCTTTGCAGGACTGGTTGTATTTGGCTTTGCTATCTCTCTAAGAAGGAACAATTTGGAGCATTACGGAGCGATCATACCCCGATATGGAGTTCTTCGACCGTTGCAAGCTACCGGAAGTGGGTAGTGCAGGCCACCAAGTTCGTGTCGTCCTGTTTAGGCCTGAACTTTACTGCTCAAATTTCCTTGAGGAATGTAAAAATCCGCAAGAAAACGATTAGGGAGATGCACGACGCCAAATGCATGCAGGGTACATAGCCTCACTATGGAAAGTTACTTCGTGATGACTGACGTGCATCCCTTCGTACCTGAACAACCGGTTTGGCGGAACACTATTTCTTAAGCAAGCAGATAAGAGATAGGAATACTTATGGAAAAATATCCATAGATTCTTGTTGTTTTCACTTGCATACGTCGTATACATAGTTAATACCTACATAGAAGAATACACAGTAGCGCGGCTGTGGGACGTCAATCCGCTCGCAGCAACATTTCGCGCCTCAGCTGGCGCCCAAGCCTATGGAGCCATTTTGCACTGAATTTTGTCGTCAGGGGTATTAGGTGATGCTCTAGGTATCATAGTCTCATGTTCTTGTCTCGAAATACCAGATAATGATTTGAGGTGGTGATGGAAACTGGCAATGCGGAGCGACTGGTTGATCGGAGTCTTGTGTACACAGTGTCTTGGGACGAGATCTCGCGCATGAGGTCTTTAAGATGACCACCAAGAGGAGAGGCAAAGCTTAGTATGGAACTGGCAAGCCAGAGGCAACCGCTAGCTTCAGCAACCAAAGAGCAGCGATAGATAAGTTTGATCCTTTGTCGTGAATTGGCACTTCCTGGATGAGTCACCAGTGAAAGGCTAGGTCGTAGGTAGAAGTATGTAGCGGTATGCTGGTTCAAGCATATTCGAGCTTGAATGATGTTTGAAATGGAAGCAAGGGACGATTCCGTCTATTGGCTAGGGTCTGATATACGATTTTCCCATTCCGATAGTAATAGTAGAGAAGAATCATAGAGATCGATTACTGCCTCGTATGATGCCGCTTCATATTTGTGATTGCCCTGGCGTCTTAGGAAAGTGGCGATACTGGTTCAGGTTGCAGATGTTGGGTGATCATTTCCAAACCTTTCTCCGAATCTTCGTGACTCGTAGGAGGTGTAGGAGACTGCTCGCAACGGTGACGATGCAGAAGCCAGCGAAGAAAGCCAATGAGAAAGACCTGATTCTTGGGATATTTTACAACCAGACATGAAGGTTTAGCTTGCTCCTGAACCGGGGTACAGGTGATGGTGATAACTGCACCAACGTTGGCAGATGAAGCCGCGGGCTTGATCCCCCCATCAAGTGTCGCCCTAGACACTATGGAAAAACCAATAACAAGGATGACCATATCGGTCAGCATGTATGGTATTGGTGCGAAGAGTGAAGAAAAGTAAAGGTGTGCGAGGATGGAAGCGTGCGAGGATGGATGCTCTCTACCATCGTGGATTTCAAGCGTTTGGGGTGTCCAATACTCAAAGCTCATGCAAGCTTCAGTCAGTCCTTATAAAGCCTATTTAACCTAACGTGGTAAGCCTGCATGTAGACCTCTTTTTGCAAAACAGGGGTATGTGCGTGCGCAAAAACAAGGGATAACACTGATTAACTACGCATCATTAACTAACAACAGGTAACAACGTCCATCCCTAAGTCACGAGACATACCCCGTCGCGAGACGGACACCGGGTACTTTAAATTGAGCAATTATCATCTTCCAAGGGCGTGTAATTAATATACAATATTTCATTTGTAGCTTCTTAGTCTACTTTAGCCTGCTTACATACTTCGAAATACAAATATTACGCCATCGTTGACGCCTGCACGCCGTGCTCAGTCAATTCATTACGGCCTACAGGGTCACGCGTAGTGCAGTATGGCATGTACTTGGATTTTAGCACAATAAAAAGATCTACTGTGTACGGCGTGCAGGTGTCAACAACGTATCTTAGAACACAGAAGCGGTTTGAAGTAGGATAAAAAACTAAAAATAGGAGAATTTAGATTAATCATACCCCATCAGAATACGGCAACCGCTTGATCTCAAAGTACCTCAAGTTCGTCTCGCCGTGGGTGCATGCTGTGACATAGGGAGTTAGGTCATCGCCTGCTGGATGAATGCTAATTAGGCGTGTTCACAAAAGAGGTGAGAGTAACCATTTTGTATATTTCGGCTAGTAGAGCCTTGCTCTAAATTCGTAAATCAGTATCCTAACACTAGTTACTGTCATCATTCTACCTCGAATGACACAATCTTCATTGCGGGGCGCTTGGTTAGATCGTCTATACATAGACACATCTCTCTGCACGTTCAAAAACCAAACCAAAAAATTTCGGATGACATTTTATGGCCATCTCTAGTGATCCTCCCTGGCTTACGATTACCCAACAATATGAGAGCTAGTGCTCATCCATTACGCTGATGCTCATGTATGAAGGTTAGACGATTATTTGCATCATTCTTCTGACGGCTAGAACAATACATCTTCCAGGGCACGAGTAAGCAGCATTTCATGCTGCGTGTTATCAGTAGCCATATTCGTGCCTTGATGCATCAAGTTTCTACCCCAACTACTGCAGCCCAACGCTGGCTGTGGAAGTATCGTGGACTGTATTCTGTGTGTACAATGGGTAAGACTAGTCGCACCGTGTGCATTGCCCCGCCTTTGCTGCTCACATTTGCGTCTTTGATCTGCTTTCTCGTTATTGCGTTGGCGCAAGTTTCTGCTGGTGGTCACAGCACTTCACTCCAGCGAGATCTCTACTTCTTCAAAGTAGATACGAGCAGGATGATCCTTAGTTCCCAAAGTTTGCTGGATTATCTCCCCGACAGTATCGTTGGCATCCAGGTTCCTGACGCCCATCAAACCGTAGAAAAGTCCCAGAATATAAAAGACTTTTACGCGGTTGGCCTCTTCGGTTACTGCGAGGGTGACATTGACACCGAAACAACTAGGAAGGAGGTAGTCACGTACTGCAGCGATTGGAAATTGCCATTCTCTTTCGACCCTGTAGCTGTCTGGCAGCTGGAAAACACAAGCGTGCAAGCGAACCTAGGGGACCGATTTACTAAGGGCATGGATATATACAGAAAAACGATAGAGTCGACACATTACGTCTTCATAGCCATGTTAGCGTTGAATTTATTGGAATGCATAGCGGGGATACTTGCCGTGAAGGGCAGATTGTACAGTTTGTGCACAACCATTATTGCCTTTGTACGGTCTCTTTACCCTCCTCCATTCGCTTACTAACATGTATAATTAGTTGCAAACTATGCTTGCCATTACGACAGCAGTAGTAGCGATGATCACCTATATCATGCTGAAGGGTGTGTTTGAGTCGGTCTTGCGCCCTTACAATGTTGAGGGATCTCTGGGACTTTCCTTGTTTTCTGTTCTCTGGTTTGGTGTCGCCTGCTCCATTGCATCGAGTTTCTTCTGGTCCTGGAGTGTCTGCTTTTGCTCTGGCAAATGAGTCGCTGCCTTAGGACTATTTCTGTGGCGTTGATAGTGTGCTGCGCTTTGTTTCAGTCTGGGCATACAATTAAATGTGAGTGCATGTCACAAGCGCATGGGTTGAGCTACCCTTGGACGGAAACATGGATGAGTGAATCAGATTCCGCCCATAATACGCGGGCAGAGTCTGCGGTCTAGGAAAGGTTGAAACTTAGAAACTTTACCCTCACAGAGTGCAGAATTATATAGAGGTATCCATCTGTTGACGAAGTGAGGATGCGTTACACGATTTTCAAAGTGGAGACTCGTCAGTGCCTCTTGCTATCCTGACGGGCATCGCTAGACAGCGATGAGTGTGAAGCTGCAACCAGGGATTTGTGTTTGTGGGAGCTGATACATTACTGAACGCCTGTATTAGGTTGCGTATACTCAGTGCCAGGCTTTTAGGCAACGGTTAACTAATTAATTAGTAAATGAAATATCAATTTGAACTTCAAGAAATGATAAGAAGGACGATTTGGATGGCTGCGAGCCTCTCCAATCTTCAGCCCTGCCTACTTGCATGCCTAATGTTTTACCGCCTCTATCCTACCAACTGGGATTGTCTACAATGAAGTTGCCCTGACTCTTGCCGTGCAAACACTTACTGCTCGGATGGCCGCAGTAGCCGTGGGCGGGCGCTCTACCAAGGCGATATTGTATCATTTCCAAGACTGTGACTTGTTCTGTTGGAACTTATGGAGGCTGTGAGCACCTGGGAAGCGTCCTTCTTTCAGCGGGCAGGCTTAGAGGTGCTAACGAGAGCCATGGTGACAAGGACGTCAGCAGCTTACCATTTCAGCCTTGTGGCATTCCACTAGTTGGGAATTCCCTATTAGAGGAATTCCTCAAGAATGGAATGCCATAAAAGAGAAATTCCTCAAGAATGGAATTCTACTCTTGTGGAATTCCAAAAGAACAGGATTCTCAAACCCTCACGTTTCCCCTCGCTCCTGTCTCTATGCCCAATCCTGACGCAGTTGGCCCAAGGCCTCCCCGTGCTCAGCCTATCAGGGCGGGAATTCTCGCTTTTGCAGAAGCAGTTCACGATCATGCATTTGCGGAGGCCTTCTTCGAGTTTATGATTTGCACTCTGGGATCTCTCGTTTTAACTCTCTGGCGCTGGAACCAGACGCCGCCGTATGGCCCTGCGTGATTGAAGTGCGCTCGCCGCTCGGCTCAGATGTTTTTCATCTTCGTCATCATGCCCCTCAAATTTCCAGCATCTACAGATAGAAGCCGCCTCGGAAGAAGTTTCAGCTCCCTTCTAGCGCATCCAGACTGATGGCTCTAGGTAGCAAACATAAGCCGAGTGTAAACTAAAATGTATTGCATAAAGGGGGCTAACTTGCGTCAAAAAGCGTTTGGAGTGCCAGCATCTTCTTATCTTTGTTGTAGTTGCGAAAGAGCGCTGCTATGCCCTTTGTTGCAAATTGCCAAGCAGCCCCATTCTGGCACAGAAGCCACCCGCCCACGCTTTGCTATAGTACACTATTACGTACGTTGAGAATATAGATACAAAAGAAAAAGAAATAGTAGACGAGAAAACCAGGAAACGAATGTGTTGTTCATGTTGGCCTCCTTCTCCGTGGAAGCGTGATGGTTACCGCTTGCTTCACAAAGCTCTCGCGTCCCGCCTTTGTACGACAATCTTGCTATCTTCGCTTCGTAGACACTCAAAAACTCTAAGCTCAAGCCGCGCAAGCCCGTCTTTGAACAGGTACTCGCTTCCCTAGGTGTTGATCATGACCTTGAACGCCATGCAGAGCAGGAGGAGAGATTAAAATTGGGTATTAATTGGCGGGAAATGGCTGGAGTAGATGAAGCGGGTTCTGAATGCTGACTTTTCAGCACAATTTGATGAGGGGCATGCTGAGATGGAGCGGGTTGGGCAACAACTCGAGGCGCTGGTCGACTAGCTGGTGCTTCCTGAATCGGGACCAATTGTATACCATAGGCGGCTGCACCCTGTATAGCGGTCACAGAAGTCAGCTTTACATTAGGTGCCGAGGTCGGTTTGTTAGGTGCGGCCTGCACAAGAGGAGTGCTGGATCTATTATGAGGGTGAGGTGCAAGAGAACGCCCAAAATGGTGGGTTGAAGCATTTGGCGCAGGTTGATGTTAAATAGGTGGATGTGATAGGAGCAAGGTAGGCCGGTTGTGCTGCATTTGGGTGAGCTGTAGCATTTGTTGCTGAGGACTCTGTGATTGTGGCTGTGGAGCAATGTGGACATGTTGAGCATGCTGAACCACAGAGTCCTTCCTCAGATGCCCACTTGCCCCATCGGTAGACCCAATTGAAGTCACTGGCGGGAAGACATGGTTTGCGGGAACAGATATAGATGGCGCTGGCATTACGGAACGTCGAGCGTCGGTGGTGGGCTGGTGCAGGGCTGGATGAGGCGGAGTGGACTCATATAGACTTTGGTAGTTATTGATGTAACGATGATTGCTTCCAGGGATGCGGCACCGCAGTTCCTCACAAGTGGCTTCTCATGATCAGCCTCCAGGCGTCTCTCCAGTAGACGGTGTGGAGTTAATCGCAGTAAAGCCTCTGTTGGTGAAGTTTTCTGGTGTAGGAGGAAAGTCATGGGTATGTGGCGACACTGGTGGCGAATTCTCTTTGTTTTTAGAAACTGTGAGACATGGCCGCTAGACAGGCGTTTCGTCCAGCTCGCCATCGTCAAGACCGGCTTTCCGCTTCTTTACGTCAAGGCCGACGGTAGTAACCGCAGTTTGACTATGTTTGTTTGTGTTCGATCTTCCTTTTCTATGCAAACTGTGAATACGAGTGCGATTGTTGGTCATGACCCAGTCGTAAATATAACGTTTAATACTGAAAAAAAGGATATTTGGCAAACTTGGAAGACTTTTCTAAGCTAATAATCAGTTTTCTTACCTTACTGGACAGAGACTAACAATTTCTATCGTCAAAAAATGTTACGGTACTGTGTTTGGAAGGCAATTTTGGTTTCAGACCTGAGCGATTTACCGCGTCGTGCACACTCCAGACCGACTTCATTTCGTGGCTTTTGAGCTCTAGGCCTGGGAGCGAATTGTCTGTCGAGCTCATCCTTATCTGTCCCCAACCACCAAAGACCCAAGATCTGGCCTGGTAGAGGTGAGTGGACATGGGGTTGGTGGTCGACTAAAGGTTTTTAATCTAGACAAATGCACCCGCACGGCCAGAATGAACATGAATAACACCAGCTGCATCTTTCCTTGCCATAGAACGACCCTCCCCCCCCCCCCCCCCCCCCCAACACACCCAGAAACAGCACGTACAACACCAAGAACAGATATAGATATCAGTTCATCAAGCTTCTCTTCAGCTCTTTCTGGGTCTGACACGATTTCGAATCGTATGTCTTCGCAGTCGAACGAGGACCAAAACCATCCCCCAACGTCCGCTTAAATGATGCCCTTGTCCCATGAAGGGGCTGCCCAGGCTGTTTCCATTACGGTCGTGATGGCCAACTAAGACAACGGGTGCGAGAAGATATCGCACAGAAGGATTTCAGGGAGGATTCGAGTAAATCTAGTCGCGGTTTCATCAGCATCGCCGGGTAGATGGGACGGTGGCCAAGCTTACGCTTTCCACGGAACTTTGGCTAATTGCAGAGCTGTTGTCCTCGATTGTATCTGAGCTTCTTTGGCGGTGAACGGGACAAGATAAGGGCCGCAGCATGCCGTGTAGCATATATAGTGTAGATGTGCCGGCGATGTTCTTGGAGTGTCTGCCCTGTCTGCCTTGCATCAACCAACTCGTTCTAGCCTGGCACAAATTTGTCACGTAGGTCAATGCGTCATGCAAAGAGACATAGGGATGGATCGTCCTCAGGGCGGTGAGGAGGGCTTGATGGCGCACAGCCTGTTCTAAGACGCCAGCATTTCTGCCTGTAGCGATCCTGGGAATGAATGCTGAGGCTTTCATACAGTGGTTTCAACTGAGTGTTTGATTACATCTCAGCCAATCCTCGCCAAACATCAGGGGCAGTGCCCATACCCATACAGAGATGATTGGACTGCCCGCTCAGGTCAGGCATGAATGACTCACGCTTCCGTGCACAGCCCATGCGAGCCAGGTGGTTCGCTATGCTGATGCATACACGCGAGCTAGTGCCATCCCAGCCATCATCGCGGCGCAGAGGCAGGATCGCTGTGCGAGTGCAGGACCAGGCCAGCCGCTTGTTCATGCATACGAAGCACCGTAAGTTTGTATCTGGCCAGTCTTAGCCAACGAAATGGTGAGTTTGCCACTGCAGAAGCATGGCCGTGCATCTGCATGCCGCAACTAGGCCATTGGACCTGCTTGATGCCCGCGCCGTTCGAGCAAGGAGGCTGCAGCTTGCTTCATCACCTCACAAAAGATAGGATCAAACCGCTGCTTGCAATCGCGTTGAAGTGAAACAGCCCTCCTGGCCACTGCCTGCGGTCCGCAGCCTCTTTGCTTGGAGACTGCATGTGGTGCGGGATCTGCAGTGTCAAGGCCATTGGCTGATTGAGCATCCACTAAGCTAGGAACAGGACAACACGACTGTGGTTTGCATGCATAGATTGGAGTTTGGGCAACTGAATTGGAAAGACCAAGCCTTGCCTCAAGTGAGGAGGTTGGTATCGAGTCAACAATGCAATCCCACAAGTTGCCAAAACATATGGTTAGTTACCCCAAGAAGTACCGGTTCCAAAAGGCAAACACAACGTGAAGGCGCCAGCCCACAGGGCCCCGATGTGTACAAGGCAACACCGACGAGGCTACCCATACTTCACCGGAAATCCTGCTGTTACTAGCATCCATATCTTATTTTCTTGGCGATTGTGTCTTTTGTCTGCCCATGTGTGCGCGCATCGTAGGTTTTAGGACTCTGTACTTAGAGCTGCCGGCTCTCTTCAAAGAGTACTCCATTCCAAATCATCTGAACATGGATACCACTAAGCTTAGCACGATTTTCGGACTTCGCGCTGGTGTTTTAGCATCTACTTCCTACATGAACCGTTTCACGGATGTCGTCACTTTACTACCTGCCATCATTTGGATCTCAGCAAATCTCGGACTCTTAGAGAAAATCCTGGAGTGGCTCTTTGCCTCTGTGGTCATTGACGAAAGCCATGAACTATACTTTCCTGTCATCGAAATCGTTTCAGCAATCCGCGTAAAGGCCAAGACTCAGATACTCAGCAAGACAGACAAAAGCGCAAGACTGGGCATGAGTAACACGACCACAAACGGGCTGAGTCTTGTCCCAGACTCCGAAACAGGAACTTCGCGGCAATCCTTAAGCTTTGAGATCCCGTACGGTCGATCTTGGTTCCTCTGGAAATATATCTTGTTTGTTGTGGACCGGCATTCTGGTCACGAACCTGCGCCTAATGCGCGCCAAGGAACTGGAGGGTTCATTGTACTCAGGGCGTTTGGGCTGTCCACGCAGTCAATACAGGAATTCATAATCATGGCAAGAACTACGCAAAACAATACAAAGGCGCAATTCACCGCTATATACAGTCTGCACAACAAGCATTTTAGGTCATTCAAAACATGGCGCAACCCAGTCCACAGACTTCATCGAGGTATGGAATCCATCACACTAGATGATTCTACAAAACAAAGTGTTGTGAAGGACATAGGGGACTTCCTGCAACCAAGCTTTGCTCAAATGTGTCAGAAGAATGGTATTCCATGGCGCCGGGGCTATCTTCTTCACGGACCACCTGGAACCGGAAAAACAAGTTTCGTCAAAGCTATAGCTGCATATTTCCAACTTGATGTATACATACTATCACTTCAAGACAGCGAAATGGATGACACAGAGCTGCAAAACATCTTTATGACTCTCCCACAAAAATCTATTGTTCTGGTTGAGGAACTAGATCGAATCAGTGTTGCACGCAGGAAAAGCAAAGAAGTGAGCTTCGTCCAGAATGGCCTTGAACAGAATGATGTAAAGTTCTCACTCTGTGGTTTGTTAAGTAGCTTGGATGGATTTGCTACCGCGGAAGGATATATCCTGATAGTAACATCCAATCGGCCCGAACTGCTTGATGAGACCCTCACCCGTCCAGGCCGTATCGATCGTAAGATTGAGTTTAAGTTGTCGACAAAGGCCTCGGCGATGAAGATGTTTGTTAAGATTTACGAAGGGAAACAGGCTAACGTACATATGTTGGCCAAGCGGTTCGGGGACCTTATACCAGACAACAAACTCAGCCTAGCAAGGATCCAGGAGTTTCTGCTCGCGTCCAACCCCGAAGATGCTATTACGCGGGCTTCAGTACACAATAGCAATTGTGAAGATGGTTGAGCATGTGGCAAACCCCCAAGTTGTTGCATTTTCCAGTACGTTGGTGGATATAATTCGCATCTCTAGGCTTATATACGTATGTAACTGGCTATGGGGTCAGCTTGGTCAGAGACAACAGTTAGCATAATGGAATTCTTCCACATCACTTAGCGAACGTAACATTAGGTGTTTCCTTTATGTCGGGACAGCACAAGTTAAGTTAGTTTCTGTCAGCGATGCGTCCTCTTTCAAACTCTCAGACCAATCAACACATCATATTTACATGGCTTGACTCTGTTTGGACAAGCTTACATCAGGCAGATCCGTGTCCTGCGTGGGATGACAACCAAGCAGCGTGCGCAAACCGGAAGCTGCAACTGCATCAGAGTGTACCTGTCCTGAAGCTGCAGCGAGCACTCAACTAAGGAAGCGTTATGAGCCTCGTGGACCCCTTTCTTAAGGCTCAATGGTGCTGACAAGAGCCATCATGAATCACTTATGTCATATAAGAAACAAGTATAGAGTTGGTGATAAATTGGCGTCAGCAGCTTACATAACTTCATGTCATTCCACGGGCCAGGAATTCCGCGAGAATGGAATTCCAAGCCCACGGAATACCTCAATTCTGGAATTCCACATGGATATTACTGCTGACGATGCCCATGGATACCACGCTTGATCAAAGCGAGTTTAAATTTCTTTTCACCGTGGATACGTTGCAGCTGGCATCTCCATGTTGATTTACGCTATTGACACATCGCATTGATCTATATAGACTTGCTCTATCTACAGTTTGCAATACTTTTGGTTTCATGGTTGCATAGTCATCACTCCTGTACAAATACAGAGCTACGTATGACGTGAGCGCTATGCCGTTGGTTAGACCACCAGTTTCATAAGATGATAAGGTTATGCTTACCCGAAGCAAGAAACCTCAAAAAGCAGGTAGCCACCTATGATACGCCGCTTTTCGAATGATGCTTGTGCAAAGGATGACTAATATTTCTTCCCCTTCGAGCTCTGACGTATCTATGGCATACGCCTCGAGCTGGAATGAACATCCAGATGATGGGAGATCTGCAAGTGGGAACAAAGATGTTGCTCAACATCAGAGTGAATTTATCGCTTTAAAGGAAATTCCAATGCGACAGCAAGATGACGCACGACAAGCATATCTTGAGGATTTAGGGTATGGGTGGAGAAACGAGTCTATCAAAGAACCAAAGATGCAGTGTATATGTCTTTGGGAGAGATTACAAGCGGCCCAAATAGAACTTCTCCAGCATAAGGTATACGATATGGAAAGGTCCGTTGAATTGGAAGATAATATCTACCGGCTACAACGACAAATTGTGACACATGAAAACTCTGGAAAGACACCACAGCAAAATGAGGTCTATGTATCAAGACATGCGGGAATTGTAGTCGATGGAGCAAGTGCCAGACATAAAAAGAGGAAACGTTCAGGCTCTATAGACGATACATTTATGCCTGACCGCAAAAGAGTACGCTACAAATAGACAGATCAGTGCAAATCATCGCGTGCTTATAATGGAAACGGCCCTATTGAGCCAAGGAGGTAGACATCGTAACTCTTTGCAATGTTATATCCACAGAGAACGGGTTAGCTTAAGGAACAGAGTAGGATATAGCTTGATGGGGGTAGCAGGTTCATGTAGTTAGAGTAATCGGAGAACTAGTTCCTTACATTCCAACAAACCAACCACATGGGCCGGGGCGATATTCCAAAAACCGGTTGCGATTTTGGCATTCGGTCCTGCCTCCATTTGAAAGTACAGATTTGAACCCGTCCGAGGTATCATTCACTAGTTAACATCAATTCTTTAGGCCAGAAAAAACCCCTGCACGGGAAAACAAGCGAGGTACCTTGACTTCGGGCGCGTAGAGCTTTTTGCATATGTAGAGCATCTCGTTTGCCTTCGTAGACGGTATACTAGGGCTTTCTCCAAGCACTTACACTTGGTTCTGGACAATAAATTACAGCAGCATCGTCACTACTACCTCTGCTTTATCTGACATTAGAATAGTGCGCCTTCGATTCAGCAGCATAACAAGACTTTTGTGGCGCCTGATAGGGCCAGGGACGTCTTTTTCCACCCCATGAGCCTTACTGTCGAGCGATGAAATCGTGCTTGCCCTGTGGTTACTGTGGTACGAGTAAAATCATGCAATTTTGCCATCCTAGTAAGAACTTCTGGTTGATGCTAGTCCCATCTTGGGAAGCCAAGGGCGATTCCTCGACACGGACATATTCACACGTCGTAACTTACGTTGGTCATCCGGTAATATCCGCTTGTGACTATAGCCTTCGCGAGTGGATGATCCGAATCAACAAAATATCGTCATTCCACCATAAACTGTGTCGCACTAAGACAACGTGAACGTTCCTACGTCCCTATGATGTAATATCTGTATCCGCTACAGGTATTCCTCTAGACTTTCGTACCTTTGAATGTAAGGACTGGAGATAGGACACTCATGTATAGACAATAATCGCAGGAACATTGGAGAACTCAATACACATTAACATGCTATGCCCTTTCTACAGTACTAGGCAAAAAGTTTCACCTCGCCAATTGAAATCAGCCCATCACCAAAGGTTGACGCCAGTGCTTCT